GATCCATCATAAATATATAAACAAACTTGATTGACTGAAGTGGCCTTCAGGGCGATGCGAGCCTAATTACAGCTGCACTGAGACAGTAAGGCATATACTAGGTCAATAATTAAAAGACTGAGTTACAGACATATTTTCATTTGTCAGCTTCAATCACTTGAAACAAGTCATAGTAGTTCGTTGCAACTATACAGAATAACGAGAGATATTCGTCGACTAGATTTATCAATGACCAACGTTCTAAGCACACATAATAATTGATATAATTTTCAGCAAGCGCCTTTGTAAAATAACTAGCAGAAAAAGATTAAAAGGGGCTGGGAAAATTATCACTAAATAAATTGCCATGAAAATCTACTAAATATTTCTTGATTTCAATACTGTTAATCTTAACAAAAACAGAACAGTTGGAAGTTTGGATAACAAGGATAATTTTGTCAAAATATTTGCACCTTTGTCTTGCAATACCCTAATTTCAGTATAGGTTTAGAAATATGTTAAAGGTACAATAATAAAAATGACAATGCAGAACAAGTTTTGAAGGTCAGCTCACAGTCTAGTAAATGACTTTGGGAGTAACACGTAATATGGGCACAATTCTAAAAACCTCAGAAAGTTGGAGAGAGAAAATTGGAGAACAAAGCAAGAAAGACTACCTAGTAAGTTCAGTTTTGCGGTTTCAGAGGTTTATAGGGATTGATTGACTTCAAAGTATTATCCGTAAAAGATTGATATCAATCGGAGAACCATTGAAAACTTGGTAGCACTGGACAGATGAATGACAATATGTCCTGGGTTCGATCGATGAAGGAGACGTGTGTGCGCTCTACTGGGGAGTTCCAAACTAGGATGAAATAGTCACCTAGTCCAGTTAAAGTGACATCGGATAGCGATGAATGCTATTGTGAATTTCATAGAAAAACACAAGGCGAGTAAACATAAAGGCATCTACAATGTAATAACTTTATGGCTGTTGTAAAAGAGAAGCATTTGTACATAGTTCTTTTGAACGCACATTTAAGGCTTGAATTTGTAGATTGCTAATGCTTCGGTTGCACGCAAACATCTTATTATTTCGCCACATGGACGATTCTGCGAGGATTATGAGCTTCATTTCAAGAGGAGTTGAATGCTGAGTGGATTCGAAAGATATTTAAAAATTTAGCTGAATATTGGGTTTCTTTTCAATTTGAATAGCCAAGCTGAGTAGCATTTGATAAGTGAACTTATTGTACGGCCAATGCGTTCGGGAACTTTAACACCAGTTAAGGAGACTATAAATTGCAGTATCACATTTGAATAAGGATAAGGACTTTCTAAAAACCTAGGTAGGGCTTTTTTGAAACTTTCTTTCATCTCACTATTCAATCGATGAATAAGAGTAGTAAAAAAACTTCCATAACATACAATCACGAGTTTGTTGGAATTCTTGTACCAGTAGGAAAGCGGCTTTTGAAGTACACTTTTTGTGAGAGATTCAAGTTTATTGAGTCAATGAAGAATAGTAATCTATCCAGATGAAGAATGATTGCATAAGCCATTCTGTCACTATTCTTTCTTGTGAGACTTCATCTAGTCTTAAAATCTAGACGTTGGTCATCCTAATCCTTACTTGCAAGAGTTTCTCGTCAGAAGTACGTTTACATTTATTTCCACTCAGCAACCCTGTACACAATCGTGTAGCAGTAATGAGTAACACCTCTATTGTGCCATGGCTAAGGATACTCCCTACCTGGTTTCCCAAACCTCGGTAGGTAGAGCGGGGTACAAACCCGTGACTCTCTGGTTGAAAGTTAATTCTCTAAATCAATGAGCCACAACTGTTTATCGATATGCCAAGATATGAAAGTTGATTTACGAAGTTTTTAGAAGTTAAAAAAAGACAGGTGAAATATTCGGATGAATTTCACTCTTCGTAGAAACAGTTTGTAAAACATGTTGTGTTTAACAACTCAAGTAATGAAAAATCGGGTATAACGGAACCCTATTTCCATTATCACGAACAGTATCTGTAGTATATGTGTCATCAATATAGTCTAAAACACATTTATGTTTGCAGCAACAGCCGTTTCGTTGTTTCGACGACTAAATGGCGATTTCTTCGAAGTCTCCAGCTGGATTCCGTACATTTTTCACATCTCTTACCTGTGTTGAGACATTAGCTGGCATAATGTGTACTTTGTTTATTTGCAGATAATGCACCCCTTAACTGAACGATTTCTCAGTCGACATCCTAATCAAAATCATTGCCTTCATAAATTCGAGCTTATAATAGCCAAATCTGTGTCATTAACTGGATTCTAGCTAAGCTGAGATGTAGCTCATTGGATGAGGTTTCCGATTTTTAAACTAAGTGAATTAAAAAGGTACCTCGGCATCCACAGAAATAATCAACTAGGCTACTTTATTAAACGAATAAATAAGTTTAACTGCTATTGTATTCATAAATACTCAACTACTTTACATATACCATACTTACTCTAAGAGAAATGCATGTGAATAGGTTAACTGAATCTTGCCTGAAACAAAGGAGTATGATAGCATCATCTGCTCAAAAAAGGCTCAAGTGAATTTGGTTTATAGAGGCTGTCAATCTTAAAAGCTCCATGGTAACCGTTAAATGGATACAACGGGTTGGCATGAGCTTAAAGCATTTTCGCAGAATCAGTGCTGCACGGCACTGTAATTCGATATCTAAAGCTATGGGAAATGTTTATCAGCTGATTTTTGTAAAGTGGCCACCAGGTTCATTATATACCTTTCTCCAAAGTGTCATCATTATCATTCCCCTCCTTTCCAGTTCCAAATCAGACAAAGTCACAAGATAAATTCACCAGAAGAGTATTGAAGAATTATTTGTCACGATCCAGTGAAACTTTACTAGTCAATCAAAAGATATCATTGCACTATCAATCTATATTTCAAGGAGGAGGTGTTAAAGTGTCCAGAAAGATTGACAAAATCTTCATGAGAATCCGTATATCCCTTAAGCCTTTCATAACTAATTCTCCCACTTCGAAGTTCCGATCGAAAACACGTGAACCAACGTGTAAATATCAGATTGGTTGAAGGGATGAAAATCAATTGGAATTTTGAATCTGGAAAGGGCTGTAAATAGCCAAGGTTAGTGTAGACAAATAAACAATTTTTTTTCAAAATTTAATGGTGACGTTGAAATACACCTTCGGTATCATGCCGCATTTATTGAGAAAATAAGCGGTCAGTAAAGGGTGGAATCTGAAGGTTATTGTCAAAGCGTCCTTATATATAGTGTTCCTCACAAAAATATAACAAATGGTAACGGGGTTACAGAAAAACCATACGTAAAGTATGTATTTTTGAGATGAATGGGGATTGTAGTTTAGATGTAGTATTCATCACAAACTGACACCAGTTGGGGAAACATTGAAAACCGAGAAGTACTGGACAGCTGTTTCGTTCGACTATGGGGACTCCTCAGCAGTACCCACCCATGACCCAGCTAGTGATGGAACACAGGACCATCAGGTCTCACGGTGAACGTACTAACCATTTAGCCGGTGTGTCGGAGTTCAGTGGTTCACAGTTCCCAACTTCTGTCAACCCACCATACAGCGCGACTATCACCCAAGGTCTTCAGTTGCCATTCATTTCCCTTCTGATTAATTAGCCTCACAGGTCACAGCTTTTCACTAGAACTTCGTGATATCCATGAAGAAGCATTTCACTAATGAACACTATACAGCAATGTGTTTCTGAGATGAATAGGGATTTTAATTTAGAGGTAGTATTCATTGAGGACTGATATCAGTTGGGGAACCATTGAAAATTCAAGAGCTGTGAATAGTTGTCCATACTGCTAAGGAGTCCCATACTAGGACGAAAAAGCTATCCAGTGTTTCCAGGTTTTCAATGGTTCTCCAACTTATGTCAGTCTGTGATAAATAATACATATTTGATAAAAAAGAATATTTCATTTAGAACTTTTATTCCTGAATTAGAAAACAAACAAATGGAATATATATATATATATATATATATATATATATAGGTAGGGAAAGATGGAAATAAAACAAGAGGATCAATTTTCAAGGTTCGAAAATTTCCTGGTCTACACAAAACCAGTAGGTAACTTTGATAAAAGAAACCACCCTCATACAATATATGCGAATAATACTGATGTTAAGAAGTTGAAAAATAATCTGACTTAGTTAAGTAAGTAATTGAAATTATCTACTTTAGTTATTCCCTACAGACAGAACAAAAACTAAGTATTACAAGTATAATGCAGGTGTAGGCATAAAATAATTATACAGAAGTACATGTGAGTAGTATGCAAGTAAGAGTGAGAAACAACCGATGCTGTTCAAAAGTTATTGAACTCACATTTCAATAAAGACAATTCACAAAATCACTGTCGAATGAGAGAAGTTTCAAAGAAAACGCAGGTTGGAAGCAAATAACCACAACAATATATATATATATATATATATATATATATATATATATATATATATATATATATATATATATAAGATACTACTTAAATATCCTCCCAAACAAGAAAGCGCATACAACTTTGTTTTTATTGTTTGTCCAAAAGTGGAAGTATTACAATATTAGAATAATAATAATAACAATAATAATAATGGTAATAAATACTCGTTAGCTAACATTCGTATTAGATACATGACTCCTAAGGTTTTATTGAGTTATGTATATATTTTATCGTGGGAAATAATATTCATTAAACGAGAAAACTAGGGGATAAAAGGCAGAAAAAGAAGCATCCCACAACACAAACATCAATTCAGACAATAAACTAAAGTAGGTTTGTAACTAACCTTTTTGCATAGTTAAGCATGATTGTACAACTAATGTACAAATCGTAAATAGGAACAATATTTAAAAATTTACAGAAAAATGAGAAGAAGTAACTATACAAAACATACCCATAAGCATACATGAAAAAAAGTAGGGAGAAAAACAACAACAACTTTCCTCTACTTTTTTCTTCTGTTTCAATTTGGTTTGCATAAATCTTCTAGACTACATCGAAGTTTTTGAGCTAACCGACTAGTTGATGAAGCTGTTTTCAAAATTTCTTGTAAAGCTGATAATGATGATAAATGAGGATTAGATGCTGGTGTAGATTGCCAAGAAGAATTTTCTTCCTAAAATAAGTTGAGATGTAAAAAGAAGGAGAAGGAAAGAAATATCAACTACAGGTGAGTAAGCATATATATATATATATATATATATATATATATATATATATATATATATATATATATATATATATATATATAAACAACCTTAGGAGCCATTGTGGCACCTAATTAAGTAAGAAATTAAGTTTATTTCAGCAAAGAAACTACCCTTTCGACTACGATAAATAATCCTGCTTGATTATTTCTGAATTTCATAGAAATGTCTTCAAAGCTACTCTCAGCTTTACACCTTTTCATTATATATCTAATAATATGAGGTTCAACGACTGCCTAAACACTCAGACAGGAGTCCCGTTACAAATAGAATACATTAAACGGTTACAGGGTTTTGATTACAGATGCTTTCGTAGCATTACTCGCGTTTGGAGGGATCATTGAGTGAGAAAATATTGATTTCAGCAGAAGGGTACTAGGCAAGATAGAAACTCGATTGATGAGGCCGTGAACCGTCATCGAGTGAACTGAGATGACTTACACATGTGCTGAGCATGCCGATCCACCGCCCACCTGCATGCTAGGGGAGGTTGCATTAGATTAGAAGAAGATTCAGGGTGGCCACACCTAGACATGACATCAGTCCATGAAGCATCTTATTGTTGGCCTGAACAGCGTGAGGAGATGCAAACTGCTTGGTTGTTGGTACCTTAGACGAAAGGAATCAGTGGTTGAGGACTCTTGGTAACACGGCTGAAGTTGGTCACAATGGCATAGATGTATTCACTACTTGACATCTTCTAAAGCTCCAACATTCCCACTAACCTTTATCTTCAAGTTGTTTCTTCGCTCATCCAACTTTATTCGCTTTGATATTACTCTTGTTCTATCCACCTGTTGTTTGTATATTACTGTGAAGTGTGGCAACTTGAGGTGATGCACCCGTGTGCGAGGTTCTACGTTGAATCTATCTGTCTGTCAGATAGGAATTGAATTTAAACCTGTAACCTGCTGCTTATATCCGTGAACCAGAAACACATTCCATTTAGGTCTGTTGGATGCATCACTCAGCAAAATAGTATCATCCACTGGATAACATTTTGCACACAATTTACTGTCCATTTTCATGTGAGGTAACTTCACAACTTTGAAACATCCTTCTAATCCTCTCTTCTTCTTGCTGATAAGAGCAGTAGTATTTTTCATATATCTCGATTAGAATCAGGATCATTTATATTTCATGCATTTGGTGTTGATATGAAGAACAAAGATTCAGTTATGAATCTAATCTTGCACTACACTATCCTAGTTTCCAATCCTGTCACTTTGTCCCAGCCTATTATGTGATTGTGCGTAGTTGCATACGCAACTATAGTCGAGTTTTTTTCTAGATTCCTGGTCATAGGATTAGGATCAACCCATTTTGCTTCAGCTAGATTTTTGTGATTGGATAGCTTAGCTAAACCTGGTCGACTACTTTGATTTGTGCATTTGACTTTACAATCAATGCAAGTGATTCCATAGATAAAATTATTTTGCCTAACTGGACCAATAAGATCTTTTAATCTACGAAGCTTGCTTCTAAGTGAGTTGGTTGGTTAAAATGATACTCTTATCCCAGTCCAATTGAGAATTTTTATTTATCTAAGTAAAATCAAATACTTCACTTAATTATAAAGCTGCGATGCACTGACAAGAATGTTTAGCAAGACATTGAAACATTTGTTAAATAAAACCTTAGTCCAGAGAACAACTCGATCTGAAGATTCGTAACCGAAATATAAATATATAATCTGACATTATTGTGTAACGGTTCGTTCAGATTCCAATAACTCATATCACAACAACAAAGATACAAGGTACGAAGATGAAAAACAAACATGTAATAAGGTGATCAATAAAGACGTAGAAGGCCTGAAGAGAAAAAGAAGGGGTGCATCAAACAATGAAATATGAAAAGATTACGATCAAGACAAAGTCTGTATGCATTTGGGCACCTGTGATCAACTTGAGATGCAACACCTGCAGTTTGAAGTCATCAATTTCGGCTTCCACAAAAGATTTAAACTGGAAGTTGACATTCATCTACACGGTACAGACCTTTAAACGTTTTCAAGGTGAAACTGGTAGCTTCTACCTTAATATGAAGGTTTAACTTGCACAACACGATGTCCGGAGAAGCTATGCTGGTAAAACCATTTTTCCTTTCGCCTTTTGGTGAGACAAAAAGTAGATACCATCATAGTGTAAGCAGCTTAGATTATGACGCGGTTTTGAGGAAAACGTTGGACAGTTAGCTGAACGTGGGGTGAGGGCTGTAAGCTATTTCGCGTGAACTGCCATCATTCTATGTTGACACTGCCTTCCTGTATCAGAAGGTGGGATTAGGACAGTTCGGCCCTGATAATAATACACTCTATTTTTTTGTTGTCTACCGTGTCCGGTGGCATCGAATTCTAAGGTCCTGAAGTAGCAAAATGAATTCCAAAGCAAAAACTCTCAGAAAAACAATTTGAAATCGACCTCCGTCAGTTGTTCCATGGGTTCTATAGTCATGTACTCCAGTCGATAAAGTGACTCATGCTAATCCACTTTCTTCTTTAGGTAATCTATTAAGGTATGGACAACCAGGAAAATTCGAGCCACGTCAGGAATACGAAGAACGGGCGGTAATGCATCAGGAGTTCACGTGGCAGTTGGACAAAACCCAAGGTGAATGGAGCGAAATTAAAAACTGATCAGCAAGCAATTAACTTTATAGTTGAGCATTTGAAGCGGTACTTCTGCGACACACTTGCAACTAAAGAACACGCTACTGGTAGGAGAGACCTGACAACATTACATCAAACAACTGGGTTACTATCTGGGAAGAGATCAACACAGATGAAACCAATGAAAGATAGAGAAGGAAAATCAGTTACCAAAGAGAGGAGAAACAAAAGAAACGATGGGCTGACCACTTCAAAAAAGTCTTGAATCGACCATCACCACCAACTGCAACTCGTCCAGAAATACCACCAGCAGCTCAGCCATAGAACTATCAGTGAACACAAGCCCTCCGACAAAGACAGAAGTGAGGTCCTGAACGTCATAAAGCTGCTGACAGCCGGAAAAGAAGAAGGACCAAAGGCAATTCCTCCAGAAGCACTGAAGACAGACGCAGAGACAACAGTGGGCATGCTCATACAACTATTGCAGAAGGTGTTGCAGGATGGAGGGAAAGGTACCTGCTGGTTGATTGGAAGAAGTGCTAGCTTGTCAAACTCCCAAATAAGGGAGACCTAAGCGTTTGCAAGAACTGGCATGGAATCATACTCCACTACTGTCTACCCCAAGCAAAATATTAAGCCGCATCATACTGGAGAGACTAAAAGATGCACTGGATTCAAATTCACGACCGGAACAGGTTAACCGGTCTCAGGAAAAACAAATCATGTGCGGATCAAATTGCAACGCTACACTACTCATCATCATAGAACAGAACATAGAATGGCAGTCAACTCTCTACTTCAACTTCATTGATTTTAAAAGGCCATCGATAGCGTCGATCGAGAAGTAATTTGGCACCTGCTTCACCACTACGGCTTAAGAGCCACAAACCTTTATCAACCTCCATATTAGATTTGTTTATTTGATTTATAACACATAGTGATCTAGTATAATTTACTTGATGACGTTTCGAGCATATCAATATAATCACACTAGTTTCGACAATTGAAACCCAAATGGGAAACGAAGAGTTGGGCATCCAAGGATGACATGGAGGAGATCGTTTAAGTAAGAAATGAAAGCTTATGGGCAGTCATGGAGCCAGCTTCAAAAGACTGTGCAGAAAAGAGTGCAGTGGAGACGTGCTACTGAAACCCTATGTTATACTAGGAACCTGAAGGACAAATAATAATATAAACAAAATTTAAAGCGGTGAAAAAAGCAGAACATATACTGTTTTTTAAATGTGATAGAAAGAAACAATAAGAGTGCTTTTCAATACAAATTATTGCAAGACAAACGGCTAAGTTGTAACACTAGAACACTGTTATAGAAAGTGAAAAGGGTATTTATTAGAAAGGACTGATAAATCGTTTTTATAACTTACCGAATTAGGATGATGATGATGATGATGATGATGTTCATTGGTTCGAATCATCTGTTTACGACTACGAAGTTTTTCATCAGATGTTGTGCCTGAACCACTGTCTTCTGAAGAATAAGTATTAGCAATATGATGAACATTATTCTTGCTGTTGTAATTAATATTATCAGTTAAGTGTTGAGAACGCTTTGATGAATGAACTGATGGGATATATGCATGATTTGAAGAATTCAAGTGTTTCAGTTGACATCGTTTATTAACACGAGAACTTAAACAAGAAACAAAATAAGTGTTATTAGTAGTTTATTCTACATTTATGTATAAAAGGAGCTAGCTATAAAAACTTTTAAGACACCCATATACTTCAAACTAATACATGGTATTAAGAATATATATAAGCGCTTAAATGAATAAACATGTAGTTGATTTTGTGATATTTGAAGCGATCTTCCCCTAGTTCGAGTCCCAGTGGAGACAATATCGCTCACTGGGAGGCATGTAAATCCAACCGACGAGTCTCGAAGACTTAATAATCAACTTTGGAGGAAATTGAGCTTGAACACAGTTGGATAATTTTAGTAAAAAAAATAAAAGTCTATCAATAATTTCTTGATTTGAAAAAAATGCTTCAAAGTAATTTTCTTTCGTTGAAGTTATTTTACTAATATTCACTACGAGCGCAAATAATCGAACTGATGGTTAATGAGGTATTATAGACCGAACAATTGAAAGTTTACTTTGGATCAATGTTTATGAGGAATCCACACAATTCATGAGCATTGAATGTGAATGTCATACTTATGGAATACTGACATTTATATATTTACAAGGAATGTTTAAAAGAGGAAAGAATCAACTACATTACATAACCTACGTAACTAACAATTAAGGGAATTCGCGTAATATTGATCTTGATGACTAGCAGAGGAATCCAAGATGCGCATTTCGTCCTATTTGAGACTCGTCAGCTCGATGTACTTGCACCCCAGTGAGTTTTGTTCCCACCAAGGCTCGAACCCAGTACCCTTCACTTCAAACACCAGAGCGTTATCCACTAAGCCACTGGGAGACGACATCCACCTCTTATGCAACGGGTGTCGATTGTTGTATTACGAAAATCCACGTAAGTTGAAAAGTGTTGTGTATTTTATCTCTACACAAAGTCACAACAACGTCCGATTGATGTATACAAGGAGTGTGGATAATAAATCACTTGGACTATATATCGAAAAAAGATGTTTTCTACACGCCAAGAGTAGAAACGAGTGCTGATATATCCTAAGTTATATATATGAGAACAGGCAACTGAACAACATTCTTGATAGTGGCTCACCTCCTTGGCAAACAGAAAAAACGGTAAAATTATAGAACGTGGATTGCAGTGTCAAAATGTGTACAAAATACAATGATTTATGCATATCTACAGTGATCTTGATCATTCCAACACCTTTCTAAAAGGGAATATACTATAGGTTTTGCCTTGTTAATCAATCTCATATTTACATATAAGTTAGTGTGTCTCTTCAATGAAACCTCGAAGCAACACGACTGGCTGTGAAACCATTCACGACGATTTAAGATTTCTCACAGGGATCTGAATAATCTTTTCACACTCTATAACAAATATCTACACATAGCATGCTTTTAATTGTTACGCTGATCCAAGGGATTGGGAAACAACCTTCAATATATTTTGCCTTTTCAATCTTTCATATGATTGTTTTCTATATCTCTTTTAAAATAAATCAGAATGTTTGCATATTCATTCACTCATTCATTTACACTAAAGATCTTCTTTAAAGAAAGGACAAAATCTACACAATGAAAAGAAATTCACTGTATTTTCTCCACCTAAAAATAATAATGCTTTTGACTGAGCTGAATCAATTCGAAATTCATTCAGCAACCTTGTGCACATTTTCGAAGTAGGCATTGAGTAACACCTATTGTATGAGAGTTAACAATACTACCTAACTGTCTAAACTTCAATAAGTGGAGCGAGGCTTGAAACTGTGACCCTCTTGGTGAAAGTGGACCCCCAAAGACTAGTGAGCCACAACTCTACTGACTGAACGGAAGAAATATCTGAACGTTATAAACCAATGATGAGGGATATCTGAGAAGGTTCATTATGACAAATTCAGAAGTATGGAGTATGATAAGGTATGTAGTCACAGCAGATCGGATATCTATATTTATTCAGTAGACCAGTCGAAGATGACTATTCAGACAGCAATCAAATGATTAAAAAGCCTTTATAGCATGACAAACAACAATGAAAAATGCATTCGTTTAACTTCATATCTGATACCATTTACATATTCTCATATATATTTGTCAGACCAAGTAGGACAAGAAAAGTATACCTATTAGCACCTTCAGCACCATCAGAAGACGTCTGATATTCAAGAATTTGCAGTTGTTCACAAGTACATTACTTCACATTCTGCATGTCTCACTGGATATATATCTTTATAATAACACAACAAGAGATAACTCCAATTTTAGTACACTTTGTAAGTATAATAACTACTACACTACCTAAGTCAGACCTTTGTATTTAGAAAGACACGATAACTTACTTAGCACTGCGATGACGACGACATTTTTCAACCCAACTACATGTTTATTAATGATAGATAGTGACAAGCAGTGGATGCATGTTTTGTCCTCTTTGGGACTCATCAGCTGGATTTACATGCCTCTCAGTGAGCGATATTGTTCCCACTAGGACTCGAACTAGGGGAAGATCGCTTCAAATATCACAAAACCAACTACATTTTTATTCATTTAAGCTCTTTTAACTTCGTTTCAAATGAAATATTAAACCAAACACTTATTCACTTTTAGTCAGTTCCGTGGTAAATCTACTATGACTATCACCTTGCATTCCCATGGTAAATATCTACACCACTTTTTTCAAACTATTCGTTAGTACGTAACGCATACATCCTTCAAGTGGCTTTAGTTATTTACAATTCACGACCCCAGAAAGAGATCTCCCGAAAACATTTCAATGTAAAAAAGGGTGCAGATACATTAGTATTCCCGATTAAATCTCAAGAATTATATTTACATAGTTTTATTACATTGACCTAAACCTGATGTTTTAACAAGGGGGAAACAATAAAACACTAAAAATCGTACAATTAAAACATTCCAAAATGAATAACGGCAGATATTTTCAATACATAATCAAAAGCAGATTTAACCAAATAACAGTCAATGAATGAGCCTCGATTTATCTGTAAAGATGGACAATAATGTAACGTATGATTTTTAGGAAGTATTATTCAAAAAATTCGAAATGCAATCAACAACCTTGTGCATGTCCATGCAGTAGTCAGTGGGCCACACTTAGTGTGTATGGGATAACGATACTACTGCCTGACTGCTCAAACCTCAGTAAGTGGAGAGAAGCTAGAACCCGTGACTCAATGGTTGAAAGTCATTCTCCTGAACCAATGAGCCATAGCTCCACGAGAAGTATTATGCCATATGTATACATATATTTCCTATACAGCATAATTTATTCAGTAAATAACGCTTCGGTTAAATGCAGCATACAGAGTGCATACTTTTAGTCTGTGTTAGAGGATGTTTCTATCTACAGAAAACTATCAGTTTCTCCATAAACCATCGGAATTCGCCGTTTTTATTTTTATTATTATTATTATTATTACTGTAGTGTCATTATTTATAACTCAAACTTGGCACAACATGGGTGTACCAAGAGATGCGCTATACAAACTAATACAGTGACAATATGAAGATATAAGTATATCAAACACAGAATAGAAACATAGAAGCATAAGTCAGTTGTTAAAGAAGCAGTTTCAAAAATATATCTAATGGAAGACTCACTACTTTCGTTTCGCTTTTCAGTATTATACGAAAAACGAGAGCTTTAGTATGACCACCACAGGTTTCGATTATTAGTCTGTGTCTGTCACTGTCCAAAGCCACTCAGTCGCACCATCCTTCAGACCTCATCCAAAGAGTCTTGAGACACCTATAGACTCTAACTTAACACAAATATCCTAGGTCACACAGCACTACGTCATACACTGGTCACCTCTCCGCTTTCAACAAGTCCGATGACAAATGAATAGTGAGGGGTTCAAGGGAAGTTGAGACGACATGTATAAGACATGTTTAAGTCAACGAAGTCAGTGTTTCAACATGACCACATTCAATGAATGAGAATTTCCATCACGCTAAAGTAGATGCTGTCTCACATCAGAATCAATTATATGATGTTTCCACCAAAAGCAACCAATCTTTAAGAAGATAAGGGTGATGAAAAACACATAGTTGTTGAGCATACTCAGCTCAGAGATATCAGGCTTCACTGGCGTAGAGCACAACTGCTTACACTGATGCGTTATATACCCAACCTCTAACGTCAAGGTTAACATCATGACAGCTCGAAAGATGGCCCAAACTGGTGTATGTCACTCTGGCTCCCTATATGTGGTTGGAAATCTTATCAGTCACACCTCCACCAGTATTCAAATAGCTACTCAAGTGCAGACATTTCGACGATCCTCAATGATTCATAATCAACGGTGAATTTGGGTACAGGCTGCTGCTAATTTTTTAGAAATACTCTGCACTTCGACGGTATGAAGCACATAGAGTGCTTACGAATATTGATCGCAACTGACTGAGTGCAATTTGAGCAGTCTGTATATATGTTGTCACACAGTAAAACGATATCACTCGCATAATCTAGGTCAAAGTGTTATACACCTGATCGAAAGTTTACACTACAACCAGCACCATGAACTCTTTTTCCTTGTCACCAATAATAAATAGGAGGAGCATTTAAACAAATGAACATGTCAAATAACAAAACGTTTGCCGATTCAGTTTTATAGATGCAAAATATTAATGAACAAAAACTCCTTTTGTGTATTATTGTTGTCTATACCTTGAGAAATAAAGATCAATTGACAGGTATTACTAAAAAGAAATAAATCTGTTGAAAGTAGTACAAAAGCTTCAATAGGTGTAGAGAGATGAATAGACTCAATTATTTTATACTATAGTCAGTTAAATTTGTATGCATCATCATTTTATCAAATGTTGATGCCTTTTCAGTCATCATCGCATTTGGTATCTCTCAGGATTCACTGATAGGTGAGCTATATTTAAGGAGACCACTATTTCTTTCCCCCCCCCCCTCCCCTCAGAAGTAATACTTACAACGAAATAGATTAAGCTAGAATCGTGGCCAGTGTCAGTGGTTATTGAAAATAATTATTTAATAATATCATAAAAATGACAATAAAAATGTCAACAATAACAATAATAAATACAATTAAAGAACATACAGGGATCCAAATCGATTAGGATGTTCAGTTCGATCAGATGAAGGATGATAATGGGTAGATGGATTAACTGAAAAATTTGGAGTGAAATTCCGACCTATATTTTCATTTTCAAATAAACTGGAAAAATAAAAATAATAAACAGAATGAAATCAACACGAATACATGAAGCAATACGAGTGATATTAGGCGGATGAGAATTTGACGTAAAAAAATGTATATACATCGAGAAAGAGAAGTTGGTTAGTTATAACAATGAGAATAATCATATAATTACTTCATGCTTTTCAGATAAAAAGAGATACGTACTACGCGTAAACGATAGGTTTAATATAGAGTAAACTTGTAACAGACATGCATAATAAACGATAAATAAATGTTTTGAAAACTCCTTTTACTATCAACTTATTTAAATAATACTGGTTGATGAATGGAAGTGAAATGAAATTCTGGGCCATGACAGGATTAGAACTACTAACCTTAAGGATAAACTACTGCTTTGAGTTACTTCCATGTGTATTTATCAATCCATTTGCTCTAGTGGAGCTAATAACATAGGCTGTACAAAGAGTCTTCTATTTAAATGGAACTACGTAAACTATCCTGTATGGCTGTCTAAAGTTAAGTGGAAAGCTATCGACAGCTCGATTCTAGAGTATTTAGTTAACTCTGGTCATTGTGTTCCACCAGAGTCTTCTTTCAAAGTCATCTATAAAGTGAAGTCACTCATTACGAAAGATTTGCGTAATCATCATCTCAACACAACAAAAAAAGTTGGTAATCCACGCTGAACTTCGAGCTCAAAGAGATACATTCAATCTCTAACTTTATCTCGGTCGTAATCTTGATTTATTCTGTTTATTCATCTCTTTGTTTACTGTTTGTTTATTTATTGTAATCCTATAAGCAATTTTTGTTGGCCTTCTAGACATTATCACTTTGTGACTTCATTGACAACTTTATTTTAACCCATTACCTACTACTAATGGATAAATATTTTGTTGTAATTATGATTACGAAGCATAGCTTTTGAAAATCATTTGTCAGAAAGAAAATTTTCTTCACTGAGTTGTTTCTGTGCACATCTATCGGCTGCCTTCAGAAATCTAACACTCAAGGCTTCTCTAATGTAATCTGTAATAATTGCATGAGTGATTTATATACCTTAATCGACGTATGCCTATCTGCACATACAATTATCGTCCATCCTTGTGCTGTTTCGCTAACAAATCTCTTCATATTCCACCGTACGCACTACCATTTTAGTTGAAAAAGCCTACTTTTAAAATAGGAAAAAAAGACAAAGAAAAAGGTTGATAAAAACTTGATTTTATAGACCATAAAGTTTTCTTAAAACTAAGAAAAAACCTAGATAGCGAGTTATTATTCAAACGGAACCTTGCACAAAAGTGCATTGGTACAACTTGCCGCAATTCACAGTAGCATAAGAATGAAAAACGGAGTTGAAAAGGTGTGATATCAAGGTAGACAAAAGTACATAGGTAGAAAAAGAATTTGAAAAGTGAGTGTTAGCGAGAATGTTCAAATTTTAGAAAAAAGGAATGAATATAACTGCACCACGGTGACTGGTTTTTAACCGTCTCAATGAGAGTCCATAATCACTGATTTTGGAACCTCAGGGATCCTAACCATGCAATCCACATATCCTAAAATAAGTCAGACCAACAGCTAAAGACTTCATGTACTGGTACCACGTCTTAGATTGAACACCTTGAGCCTCCTTTGAACCTAATCAAACATCAACATAGCATGTTAAGATAGGTGGTAGTTCAGCATACGTAACAAATGTCCAAACCACCTCAGTTGCTGGAGATTCGCCATTTCATCCGATTTGTCTGTCTCGCCAAGTATCCTCCAACTGACTTTAACACTGCTCATACATCGACTTCATCATATATGAGCAATACTACGAAGATATTTATGGTCAAAACCAGTGATCTTTTAACAGGTACGTATAAAGTGCCAGAACTGACACCAGTGCAATATACTCGTCATTTAACAGGTAGCCCAACACCTCACCAGTTAGTGCCAGCAAAGACGGAAGTTGTTAAATGTCAAACAGACCTTCTGAATCCGAGCTGAGATCTCGCCAGCAATCAACCCACTTCAGTTAATCCGAATTCTAGAGTAAGAGAAGTGGTGAACACATTCTAACACTTCGCTCCCTATCCTTAAGCTGAGGGTAGTTGCAAGCCAGTCATGGGGCACCATCTCGTATTTGACAGATGTGAAACGCAAACCAAAAATACTCAGATTTCTGGTTAAGACGTTAAAAAAATCCTACGTCTTGTCAGCATCTTCCTCTACAAGGACAATGACGTTTGCATACCCTGAGTTAAACAATCTATTCTTCGTAAATTCATGAGTACATAAGATCTATTAGTAGTGAAATCGAACAGGAACAGCGACAGTCGGTATCCCGAAAGGAAATCATTAGTTGTTGTCAATTCAGATAATAAATCTCCATGAAGACCGAACACGCCTGTACGAGTTTGGTCAGAGAGCTTCAGTTAGTGGTGCATACTTGCTCGATATTCCTTCCAAAATCAGAAACAATAGCGACAGCTCACAGTTGAATGACATCTGAAAGTCAAGGAATACGACAAGTGTCGGACTCTAGACAGTAAGTGTTACCAATTATGTCAAAGGGTGGAAATCTGATCAACGTAGCATCATGCTAGTCTAAAACTTGTCTCGTTTTATCGACCTCCAGTTAGGTGTCAAAAAACTATGATTTTGGAAAAGATGTTAGTTAAAATGACTCCCCGATGATTATCACTAGAAAAATCCTCTCCTGTCTTATAAAACGAAGTGATCAGTGATGTAGACCACTTTGATAAAACTATCTCTGATTCTGTTTGCAAATTATCAAGTCTTGCTGTTTGTATCTTAACAGGTTCGATATAGACTTCCCAACTTTGAAGACAAGTCCGGGCAGTGAATGAATGAGCCTCGATTTATCTGTAAAGATGGACAATAATGTAACGTATGATTTTTAGGAAGTATTATTCAAAAAATTCGAAATGCACTTAACAACCTTGTGCATGTCCGTGCAGTAGTCAGTAAGCCACACTTAGTGTGTATAGGATAACGATACTACTGCTTGACTGCTCAAACCTCAGTAAGTGAAGCGAATTCAGCCGAGATGCTGGGCAGCTGAGGTATTGCTGCGGGTCAGCTGAACTGTGCTTCAAAGTATTCCACCCAAAGTCGTAGCCACTTATCTTCCAACATTACTAAATATCCATCGTTTTCGGTATTACTTTCACACACTATCGTTAACAGCTTCCCGAACAAGCGGAGATAACTGTCGAGTGCCACTTAATGATGTTATCTTTTCCATCTATTTTGCTTCCACCAACAGCTACTACTACTCACAATTATGACGAAGACTTCTAGATAATTCACGATTGGTCTACCTTCACTCCCCTTTTTGGTGACAGCCAGCTGGAATGAGTCTTCTCGCATTAACCAGTTCGGATTACGTTCCACTGACGTTTCCACAACAGACCAAAAGTTACTTTAACCTTCTTCAGGGGGTAGGTCATCGCCATGTTCAGATATACGCTTCGTTATCCCATCCCTAAATACATACTTGATGTCCACATCTAATATTCCGGCACACAAATGCTTGGTTGAAAGTACGGTGTAAGAAAATGAAGAGAATAAAAGCATAAAGTGATATATCCATAATCATTTAATCGACTGTTGATACGTAACAAAACCTTAGGAACACTTTCTAAAACAACAAAGTACACACTGAGTTTCATTACTCGGTTTATTCTGGTTCCAATAAGAAGCAGTAATATAAACCGTGCAAAAAAATGATGGATATTTTTTTCAGATTATTCTGGCTTTATACATTTACATAATCCAAACACAACTAAAAGATTTTCTAGATGTACAGCACAGCTAGCAGACAACAGTAACTTAACATGTTTTCATACAAATTAAACTATTAGATTACAAACCTAATAACAAAGGTACAGCGTTAATTTCAAATGGAATCCTGTTGTCAACCATAAATTATGATAGATTTATACTCGAAAAGAGAATCTCATGCGTTAACGTCGTTAGTTAGGTTCCACATGAACACAAAAAATAACACAAATTCAAGACATAAAATAATTAGAGTCAAAACCTAACTACTATAAACTGTATTAAGTAATCGACGTTGAAATGCAAAATTATATCGGTACCACATCCTACAAGATAAATTTCATACTAAAAACCTGAACAGATGTTCAATTAGAAAGTTTATAAAATTGAACAAACGTCTAACTAAATGAAATTTCAAGACTCAACAACACATGGATAACAATCTAATTAAAATTAATTTCATCCATACAAAACATTGTTGTCTATTGAAAAAACCTGTAGCAAGATTCAATTTTTCCTATTCACACCAATTCAATTGATGAGGCAGTTCAAATAAAACAGGAACACTGTACATTGAATGTAAAAATATCTTCAGATTAATGAGGATTTTATTCTCAAGGTACAATTCATCACAGAATGACATCAGTTGGTGACCTGCGGTGTCCGCCAGTCAGAAGTGAAGCCAGTGCCAACTGAAGACCTTGGTAGATAGTCACCCTGAATCACGAACTGAGAGAAGTAGGAAACCATAGACCACTAAGCTCCGACCCAGTAGCTGAATGGTTAACGCGTCTCGAGTTCAATCTCCAGCCGGGTCGTGGGACGAAACAGATATTCAGTGCTCCCAGGTCTCCAATGGTTCCCCAACTTATATCCGTCCCAATGTGAATGCTTTGTTGGGGTGTTTCATTGAAAACACTCAATAAATGAGAGACATCTTCACTACTACCTCAAATATAAATATTTATCCAACTTATACTGAAACATGAAATCAACTAGCTATACAAAAGCGAAACAGTTAGATATCAATTATAAGGATACCAAAAACTTCAGTAAACAATCGATTTCACAGTAGGCAACTGGGTGTATATGATGCATACCACTAGTTTTACAAAAGAGCAATGAAAATGAACAGTTCATTAAATTAACAAACAAAATGATACATAAAAGTCGGCAGCCAAATGAATAGCAATAGATAGCGAGCAAGCAGCGCAATAAACCGATAAATATTTCAAACAATAAAAGAAGAAACCAACAAGTAGTTCGACGAAACACACACATAAAAACGTTTTAACATGCAAAAAATTTTCATGGAGAATAACAAACAATGACAAGAAAAAGTCGAGAAGAGATAAAGCAGATTTTCTCCGTTAAATAGCTATACGGTAGCAAGATAATTTTAAAAAAATACACAGAACTCCACTTACTTCGATGGGCATTGTACAAAAGATATATCACAAGGGTGTGTAGCTCTTAAAGGTCGTGCTCGGGATTCTTTTGTTCTAATATATGACAAATAGTGAAAATTTCAAAGATATAAGTACAACAACAACAACAACAATGTGTTATTCGTGTGCAAAAAGTTGATGAAACACCTAGTTAGTCATGTATTAAGAGTGAAAACTGCTATATAAAGTGTATCTCATACATGGGACAACAAAATGAATTAGTGCATTTACATTTAAATGATCAATCTGAGTAAAATATACATAATTGATTTACAACATATTATGAAACATGGCTATTAAAGAGAGAGGACATGAGAAGACTATAGATGTCCGACTACCTTTGCCTTCACAGTGTTGAATGTGCAGATTCCAAAAGAAAACTTTTACTCCAAGTTATTACTTACCACAGATCGACATCAACATGAGATTCATTGAGAATCAGGGAACATTATACTGCTGGTTCGTCCCAATTTGGAACTCCTCAGCAGCGTGCACCTCAATGATCCGGCTAGGGATCGAACCCGGGACATTCAAGCTTCGCAACCAGCCCGATCCTCCCATTAGACCACTTGGTTCTAAATCCAATGCTGTACATTTTCCAACTTCTGTCAACTAGCGATAAAGTATGACCTATACTAGGAGGAAACAGGTGTCTAGTGCTCCTAGATTTTCAACGGTTCTCCGAATGATGTCAGCTCGTGATGAACGACTTGAAACTAATAATCTCGACAAACCTCTAAAATGAAGTCAATTGATGAAGTTTTAAACCTTGGCGAACTCAGATGGCTTGCATACACACATTACACATGGCTATCCACCCCTCTTGTAGCCATACTGTATAAGCTCAAGTAGGTTCGAACAAGAGGAAGGTAAAAGCCCATCAGATTAAAAATGAAATTAACCTATGAGGTTTCTGACTGTTAATTCGAGTCATGAGGAGAAACATAGGGTAGACGTGACATCCAAATTGGTGACTGGAGACCTCAGGTGATATAGTTCAGAATCTATTTCCATAACGGTGATAGGTCCACGCAATAATCTGCATATTAATCGTCATACTGAATCTCACTATTGTTTTCTTCCTCTCGGTCCTCTTTTCTCGACTGTCTGCCGCTTTTGACTATTTTATTTCCTTATTTCCCCATGTTTCACTTCAGTGACTTCTATCTTGATGCAGTGATCTGGAGTATGGTAACTTAGACCATTGTGCGATAATGCCAGGTCGCATGTTGATGTGAATCGATTGATAACATGCTACACTCCCTCCTTAGATAGAAACACCATTTCCTATTACTGAGCTGTGAAGTGCTATATATGATAACTCAAGTATCCTTAAATTCATACACAATTACATTATTTATTCAACAGTGGGTATGTCACAGAGAATAAGTAAAAGCATAGAAACGACCATAAAATACCAATGTAACCGGTTCCTCTCACGAGTCAACTGAAGAAATCAAAACGATAACAGTAGAATTAGCATGTATGTATTTCATGAATTCTCCTCAGCTGCTTTACAACCTATAATATTGATGGTGAAAAACAAGCTATGCAACGTACTTTCACAAATCGAAATAACTGTTTCGATTGAGATGAAAAGTAACAAAGATTTAGGTTGACCAACAATATTGAAGCTTTTGAGACTACTCAAAGGTTAATTATTTATACACTGATAGAATTAACATTCTAGAGAAGACAGCAATATGCACAATATTATTCTAGAATTGATAAAAATGACATCATGGTTAAGTAAGCGGAGTAAAAGGTCAATAGGTTATCTTTATATTAAGATGAATACATAGCTCAGAAAGTGAGAATAGGTTTTGAAATAGATCGAGAAATAAAATGACAGGAAAAAAAGGGTCATGAGGTCATGAAATGGTGTACCTGCAAATTTAGATCAAAATTATCAAAGTAATGATAGATTGACAACAATGTCTTTTTGAATACATAGATCAGGTCTAAGTCTTTTAATTGCAACTGCTTCGGCAAATCACAAAAGAGTGAGTTTCTATTGTTTATTGATTACTTTGAATGACATCTAGTATCCGGCAAAATGCCAAGCGACCGATCTACTTAAATTCTGTGAACTCTTAAAACTCAAATTCTTCAGAATAAGTTACGCAATGAGAACTAATACTCTTCTCTCTGTTCTTCCGATGTATGTGCTTTGGTACGTGCATGTAAATTGGTTCATACAGTTTATGGTAATAAGAGTTGGAAACTTGTCAACTTGTGACTGTCTCAATGAGCACTCAATCTGATACACACAGAATTACACAGCGGCTGGATAGGTCTTTATAAATGGAGCGCTCAGTTCATGGCTCATCCTTATGGCATCCCCTTTAAAGATGAAGTGTAGATAGACGAGTTTCATGCACACCGATGTCTAGGAAGCGAAATTTATTATGTTCAGTTCCCAATGTGAATGCTCTGTTGGGGTGTTTCATTGAAAACACTCAATAAATGAGAGACATCTTCACTACTATTGTATCCAACAAATGTATATTCAACATCAACTGTAATCTCAGAAATTCGTAAGTATACCATTTCATGACCTTATGACCCTTCGTTTTTTTCTTTATTTTCCGATCTATTTCAAAACCTATTCTTACTTTCTGAGCTGTATTCATCTGAATATAATGATAACCTGTTTACCTCATACTAGTTGACAACAATCAATTCCTACCTTTAATAGACGAAAGAAAGAACGTACTCAGCCACCTGGTGCACATCCATGCAATAAGCAATGGAGCCACAATTTTGTGTGAGGGCTGGTGATACTACCTGGTTGCCCAAACGTCGGTACGTGGGGCGGTACTCCAACTCGAGATCCACTGGGTTGATAGTCATCCTCCATCCCCTAAGAGACTCAATACAAACACACCGGAAACCTGATAAAGCAAAGTAGATCGTTACAAACTATCTTGAGTTTCTGCTAGATATACTCAAGAGTTACTCTGATAACCCCAACATTAGCATCTTTAGGATAATTCTAACTAGTCAGTATCCGTTGGCATAGTTGAGTAAAGAAAATTTAGAAGGAAAGATATAGGCTTGGATACTAGAGTAGGAACTAGGCGTGCCTGGACATGACTAACTATTGCTTATCTATTACTGGAATAAATTACATTTGCCACCTTTATCTGGTTGAATACAAGACAGATGTTATCCCAAACCTGATTCACACCAGTTCTTGCAATTACATGCCAATAACTAGCATAACTCAATAATAGACTGTAGGGACAGAATTGGGTTCTTTTTTTAACTGATCACCTTTAAACGTATGTCTATTGACGCTTGAGGTTACTTAACCATGTTAACTTTTCGCCATCTCATCAGGAAGTAGCTTTCTTATTGAACAATCAAGATTCAAAAAATGAAAATTCACAGAGACATAATTTGATTGAAGGTACTCTGATGTGGAACAGCAAAGTACCTCAACTTGTTTATCTGAAAATTTTCCCAACCATAACTAGTACAAAAATGTGAGTGCTTGGTAAGCGGAGAAAAATAGCGAAAACTACACTGTCTACTGATTACAACATCAAGTAGTGTGCTGTGCGAATAAAAATGAACGGATTGTGAAAAGCACAACCTATTAAAAGTGAACATAAAATGGATTCATAGATATTCACAAATAAGATCACCTAGTAGTAAATCTACATTAGATATCACAAAACTATTTTGAGCATATTCGTACACGTTTATCCATTGTTAGCAGACCAATAATGGATTCACAGACGAGAATATGAAAGGTGCGATACAGCCAACAACTCAACAGTTCCGAATCAAGTGTCTAAATTAACCATTTTCCACGTAAATTTAACAAAGGAACAACTGACGTGAACAAGTAAGTCACAAAGGCTTACATGAATACTGTTGGTAGTGGAGTTGATGACAGGAGTATCAATACATCTGGACATATTAAAGGCCTATCTCATAAACAGAATTGCATATTCGATTTCATAATACAAACCAATCAGATCAAAAATTTCTTAAGATTAGATGGAAAAGTTATCCAAACCTACATATAACAACAATCCTTTACCAAAGTTTAAACAACTAAGGTCAAAGAAATAGCTTATCATATCAATTAGAAGTGTGAAGTAGATACGCACAGAACAGATAATGAGAATACTTCTTAGGAAGAGACTTAACAGCATAGATGATATAACTTCAATACAACCACAAAAAAGGTGGACTAACCTGGCTGAGGATAAAGTCTTCCGATATAATGGATTCAAACCGATGGTTGGACGAATGAGTGGAGGTTCAATGAATCGGGTATTCACAAAATTTCCAATATTACAACTTTCCAAAACTTGACCACTTCCTCCACAAGCACCACATGTCATTGTTTTTGGACAAACAGTAGTTGTATTGTTCACATTGTTAGGAATTCTTGCGGAAAATAAAACACCATCATGATTATGATAAGCATATTGTTCAGATGATGTTTGAATAGGTTGAGAGTAAAGAATTCTTTCTGTTGATGGATAGAAATAAACGGATGGTTTAAGTGAAACTTGAGGTTTTCTCTGGATATTTTCAAAAGCTGTGTACACGCGTGATGATTGTTGTTGTACAGGTTGATGAAGATAAACAGATTCGAATGATGCCTCTGGATCAGCCACAACAGGTACTGAACCACCAAAACTATTCATAAGTTTATGTACAGGTTTCAGGTAGGGAGTGTCGCCTGAGATCCCAGTTTTATTTAAAGGAAGACAATTCAAATGATTCAAAGAGCCGTAATTACAGTGAGTATTTGTTACAGACCTTAGTGGAGCACGATACGATTCAGGTTTACAAAGACTTGATGACCTATGAGTTTTCTCATGTGATTTGAGCTTATCATCCCGCAAGATTGACTTTGTGACAGGATTCCGTAAATGGTCAACATGAAGACGAGATTTAGGAATTGAAGATCCACCCTTCAATTTACATCTTGAAGAATGAGGTAATTTGGAATAATCGTCGATAAAGCTAGAATTTTCACTTGATGAAGTATGTGAACCAAGAGTAGGTGAATCTTCCGTAGAGCATTCACTACTGATCGATGATGTGCTACTATCTCGTTGCTTATTAAGTTGGTAAGTAGAATAATATTTAGCTGAACGACCACGCATACTATTACCTAAAAAGTGTAACAAAAAGGGAATATCAGACCAATGAAAATAACCATTACAATTACTAAAAACTTCACTTTTTTATACTTAAAATTAGTGGTAACGTCACTGACTACACCATAGGATGATGCAGGTACGAATCACAAGCGGGATATCAGTTCCATTGAGGTTGCAGATACGCCTTGCTGATGAATGCTAACAAGCACGAAATCTAAATCCCAGGCTTTCAACAGCCTAGAATCAACTAATATACACTTGAAATTACTTTTTTTTTCATCATAAACTAAAAAAGTCAATTTAACAAACCACTAGAGACTAAATGTAGAATTAAATTACCTCCATTTTTATTGAGGTAATACAGAATAAATCTATCTCAAGGAAATTACCAGTAACCTGCTGGTAGTCAAACTCTTGATGGAAATTTCATGTGCCTGGGTGGGATGCAGGAATGTAAGCAAAGTTCACCATTTTGTTTCTCAGTTTCACATAGTACAAATCGTTTTGTTTTCATTTTCACAATCAATAGACAGACCACAACGTGGGAACTCATATCAAAAGTGCATTAATACGAGTCACTAAAGGTAAACCGATTGACAAAGTGAACGTATGTGATAGGCTATTTGACACTATATTGTATCCATTCTTAAGCATGCTACTTAACATGCATGAACAGGACTGACAAGAAGCTCTTAGACAAAATTTCACAAATAAGCTAAGTCAGTTGTAAGTAGTATTGGTATTATAAAAGAAAAAATAAAACAATATTGAAATACTAATATGATTCACATTGGTTATTATTAGCAAACAGTTTCACTAACATAAGTAGAGGAAATAAATCTACTTTACTGTTAACAAATACTAATACAGGTGCCTGGTGAACACTACTTATGAGAATTTATATCAGTAGTACATAGCATAACATTGGAACACATACAGGAAGTGGTAGACATCAACTAATGATGATTCGAAAGGGGAGAAAGAGCAAGAACACTATACATGAGAACGGTGAAGAAGAGGGGTTTTTGCCAATGTGACAAAATGACAGGGCAATCAACACGTACATACATTCAATCAGGACGTAAGCTTTGAAATCTGCTATTTAATAATATACTCGTATTTTAAAATTGATGAAGCTATGAGCTCGGTAATGATTAAAAGGAATATTGAAGATTAGAAGGCAAGCATGAGGGAGGTGGATAGTGGTATGAGGGGATTTGAACGCTGACAGAATTTTGAAGGCGGTTGACACTTCCTAGCTGCCCACACCGTGGAAGAGGGTTAGTGCGTGACCACAAAGCCTAGACACATCTGCTTGAGGTCGGTCACGTAAAGGTCTTTTTCATGTCATGACAATTGGCCTGTGTTATGGAAGATGTAGTCCAACATACGTCCTGTGATTTTGGATCACCACTGACCACTAGTGACTAGACTAAGCCACCAACGTGATACATACATAAGTGGGACCATCATGTCAAGGTAGCAGCTATCGGTCAAGTTTCACTAAGAACATATTTAAGAATCTGATTATGTCATTTTCTTCATGTTCTTTCATGAAAGTTGGATTTGGATAGCATGAGGCGTAGCTCTTTGATACTGCTCGTTTCTATACTGTTCTTACATACAATTAGGATGTCATCCGCGTATCGCTAGTACAGCTCCATCTTCTTTATGAAGCACTTCAAACTACCAGTTTCCATACATCAGTGAAATAAGTCATATAGTTCTGGCTTTCCATCCTTGGTCTGTTTCGTTTAACTAACCTAATTCCTATCACCATTATTGTCATTATCTTTGTTGCTATTAGTCATTTCCACGCACACCTAGTTTTCTCATAATGGTTAGACCTAGACTGTAATCAAATGACGTAAGTGATTACTAACTTCTGTTCGAAATGACGTAATCTACCTACAAACTATTCATTTTTCACACTCATTTCGACTTTATTATTTTCTCACCCAAAATTCACATGATCCTTTAGTTTGTACTACTATCCAAATTCTCATTGGATAACTGTATTGCCTATTCAGTATGACGCAATTTATCTTCAATCTACTCAACATCTACTCGTATCTCTCGCATTACATCTTAATCGATATCTCAGTTTATATTATGTATGCGCGTATGTATGTTCTGGTGCACTGCCTGATGGTATATACAGTCAACGATATACAGCATTGACCTGAAACTGTGCGTAATATACTACTGACTAGCATGAGTAGTTTTAAACCAGTGGTGCCGATCACAAGTGGTCGCTATCCAGATCCTGATGATCTAAACACTGGCGGTTTCGCTCGTATGAACCCGAGATCATCAGCGATGTAGCCATGTTGATTCAGCTAAGCAAACTGAACTGTTCGAACCACCCGAATTCCGTCTAGCTACTTGAGCGCACTGATCACAGCCAGAATGAAATCAAGTGTTTCCACAACTGCGTGGCCCACAGTGAGAAATCTCACTATATTTTCGTATAGAAAGCGAAATATTCGGATGCTTTTACCAATTTGACTCTCTAGGCTGAACCAATCCAGGTACATCGCTAACGAGCTCAGACCCAAATGAGAGAAATGGACGTTCAGTGATAAGATCATGTTTAGCTGGCTAGCGAACGCTGCTGGTCGGTGTTAGTGGTCTAGAAATACGCTTTCAGTCAGTAATATATTAAGTGAAGCCTCATCCTCGCAATTTTGACACCAACCGTGTCGGGAAGATCACATCACATGATCTGAATATTTTAGGTCCCGAGGGAAAACCAAGGTGAGATTTCCGACCACGGACTGCGCAATTTTGGAAACACATGATTTCAGGTCAACTGAAATTTATGCATTGAATAAGTTCCGCTTTTATTCACACACACACACTGCTTATCGATTGTATCAAGAAATTGTTTTCAGACAACAGTGCGTAAGAAAATAGCAAGGAGGCGAATGGATTACGAGCAAAACACTTTCGAGATAAAATACACCATAAAAAATGAAAATATGTTTCACTCTGGAGATTTGCGAGGACTTATTTATTGATTTCAGGTTGGTATACGCCATGAACTGACATCAGTTGGAAAAGCAATGGAAATCTGGAAGCACTGAACAGGATATGAGGACGGATACTCAACGATGGCATTAGATAGAGGTCGCACTATATCGTGAACTGGTAAAAGCAGGAAATATGGACTGATGGATTCTGGCCTAGTGGTTCAGTGGTAAGGTGTTGGTGGCGGAACCTGAAGATCTTGCATTCGATTCCTGGTTGTACGAGGTCATGGGTGTGCACTGCTTAGGAATCAGTCCCATACTAGAACGAAACAGCTATCCAGTGCTCCAAGGCTTCTCTAGCTATCAGTCCATGGTGAATACGGACTTCAAATACTGTATTCTTAATATTTTAAAGTGAAACAAACCAGAACGTATTACATGTTCTTTGTGAACAGGTAGCACCATATTTTCTCGTACTATAACCAACATGATTTCACTACACTGGAGAAATTATCAATGTAGTTATTTCTCAGGATTCCAATTACAAAAAAATGAATACAGGATATGATAATCAAAGGAGACCTTTAAAATACTGTTATATAGAATGAGTATTAATGGATTGATGCAACAGTAAGTTCCGATTACGTTGTAATCTACTTGGTGGCTAGCAGTGGAACCCAGAACGTGCGTTTCGTCCTATTTAGGGACTCGTCAGCTGGATTGCACCCGCACCCTAGTGGGTTATGGCGTTCCTAAAAAGACTCGAAATTAGTACCTCTCAGTTTAAACGTCAAAGTGTTATCCACTATGATACCGGGGCACGATAGTCACCGTTTGTGCAACGGCCGTCCTTAGTTATTTTCTGATACGTGTAATTACTCGTTTTTATGCTGGATAGCATAAGTTCCAATAATAGTCGATGTATATTTCACTACACCCACCTAAATAAATACGAAGTTTCAACAGATTTTTAAGGCATCCATAATAATGCAGTTGCTATTGTCAACAGTAGCGAAAAATACGCTACTGAAGCTTGATAATAACATAAGTCTTGATTTCCTGGAGCATGATGGGGCAAGAATTATTGATGAAGTCTCTGTCTAACGATTTTGACAGTGTAAGTTAGCTAGTTAGGGTGCTCAAAAGGTTAGGAATCAAAAGTAGGGCGTTCTCCAAGTGACATGAGTTAAAAGTGATCGTAATTTTATACCTGCATTCATGCCTCATTTTCAAAATTCCAAACATTTTACAATCCATCATTCATTTGTTCTAACCTTTCCTAGATAGTTTTGTTAATTCCAATATCATTGTTATAGGGAAACATGATAATCTGAAGTGATAATCATTCTATACTGATGTGTTTTGCAGCCATCATTCGTATGGGATTCAGATAATCATTTCTCTTATCCTGATCAACCCAACTAGCTCTACAAAGACAATTGAAAGTTGAATTGAAATGTACTTAACAGTCACTTGCCCATTCGTGTTTTAGGTGATGAGCCAAATCTATCGTGTGGCGGTTAATGATACTACCTGACTGCCTAAACCTCAGAAGGTGGAGAGGGGTTAAAACTTATGATTCATTCGTAAGAAATCACTCAAACTAATAGTCACAGAAATTGAGAGATGATGTGATACATTGTGCCAAAACATTAAGACGCTCGTTTAAAAGTACTTTCACTTTGATGGTTATTGAAATTCGAGTTAGTTTGAAGAATTCAATAATCGCATAAAGGGTTGCCTAACTTCAAGAGAAAAAACATCTGGTTCAATGAAACTTACCAAAATGACAAACAAAGCAAAATGTTACAATAATATAAAAATTCATTTACACAACACTAACTTGAATAATGAGTTTCACTCTTATTGGGCTGTGAATGGCGATTAGCTTCTCTGGAACAACTGAAATCTCTTATGTTACCAGAATTATGAGAAATTTTACGGGTAGTATTGGACAAATCACGGGCTACATATCGATTTTGTTTGGATTTCATGCATTGTTTTCCAACGTTTTGAGTTTTAGGGGAAGAGGATGAATAACTAGAATCATTTTGTTGCGTATATATCAACCTAAAATAAAGTAGGTAAATACATACCGATTACTTATTAAATCCTTGAGAAATTCATAACAAGAAGGTGAATATATGTTCCGTGAAAATAAACTTAATAGAAAGGTACCCTCATAGTTGTACACACCCAAGCTGCTGGTGCTACTAACTCCATAAAAAGAAGCATGATTTTTTATGCGGCACGAAGATATCGTGTTGTGGAACTAACACATAACATGAAGAAACTATCCGATTTCTGTTGAATGCTTAACTAATATGTTACAGAAAATTAAACTTGGCCACATATACAAAGTAAACAAAGATGAGATGGAATTTAAAAATGAAGGTCAGTAAAAACATTCAAGCTTTAGAAGATGTAAAAGAGTAAAAACATCTGTCCCATTATGACTGACTTTCAGCCATGTCACTAAGAGTCCTCTGCCGCTGATTTCCATTATCTCGGAGACCCTAGGTCCCAGTCACTGGGGCGAAACCAGTTTGTTTATGCCTTACTGATAAGCACCAGTAACCACGAAACCTGACCTAGGCAAGGCATTTTACTTATTGACTCTTACTGTCTAACACCAAATAAAGAAAACGGTGCATCGAAGTATTAAGTCACTGAGATGTCATACTGGAAACTTGATCTTTACTGCTAAGTATGAAGGAATAGACAGTCACAGGTTATCCACCGTTGACCAATTTCTGCATAGATCGGAGTCTTAGCTAAACAATTCAATACACAACTCAGGTATTTCGATTCAGAGTGAAGTTGCTTAGACCGTTAATAAGGATTAGTGGATCGGAGGTCGGATAGTACCATTTTCTCCAGCTTTATGCAAATCATAGTCTCTTATCAGCTAACACAAACTTCCAGCATAAATATCATCGTTATTCTACTTAACAACCCGCCCCCCCTCTCGGTCATTTGTTTTCAGATACGAAAAAGTCACATTGCAACTACGTGCCAGTGGTATGGATGTATTCAGGACTACCGTTACTTCGACGGCAGTTGTTCAGACTTTCATCAGGCTCTAGCATTTGCAATCGGTTGGTCATGAAAATTGTCGTCCTAAACTTGTGTATAAATTACAGATGTTGCAATAAAAGCCAGTGAGTAAAAGATTTAAACAATTTATCCAATAACTGACATATAAACTTTATGCTTTTACAAGTAATGTCTAGGCATTATGAAATTCGATAAAAACTGCAAGAAACAGAATCAGAAATCAACAAAGAACTCCAATATTTTATTTAAACAAACCTTCGGTCTAGTGTTCGATGGTATGTTCGACAGGGTCGAGGAGCTGTATTCTTGAAATCTGAATTATGTTGAACAACATCCTCACATATTTCTTGTCGTGAACGGGGATTATACTTTGATTCATTAGATACTTCAGTTTTTGACATTGGTATATCAACTGTATCATTATAAGGATATGTAAAATTCGGCTGTCCAGCTGGTAAAAAAGGGTGGTTACCGCTACCATTGTTACTATTCATGAAAGGGCTACTAGCTGAGAAATAAGGGAAAGCAATTACATCTGAACGGTTTACGCCTGAGAATGGAAGGGAATTGTGCGAGTTAGAACTGGATGAAGCAAACTGATGAATGTTCTGTTGACAGACAGATTTTAGGTTCTCTAGTTCTGTGATTGGTGGAGAATTTCCAGTTTTTAAACAGAAATTTTCAAGATTTTCCTTCAATAAACGTACACCATCCTCTAGAGCATCGATTCTCCTGCAAATTGAATTAAAGACGCATATCAGATAAAATTAAAATGCAAGTAGAAATTTTCAAACCTTGAGCGACTGCTATATTATAAATTTGTAAGGCAACTGAATGATCATGTAGACTTTTATTAACTAGCAATAAAGAACAGCACAATGCGAAAGTCATATACGAGTGTGTGCACTCAGCTCTTAGTCAAATCAATTACTTGAAGGTTATCCACACTAGACGAAGTGGTGTTCGAACTAGTAACTAGATGGTGGAAAGTCAAGCATTCAAGGCAATGAGACACAAGCGGGTTTTAACTTTTGTTCTAACAAGTGGAAGTTGAACTTATCGACCAATGAGCCTAATTTTTATAAATACACGAAGTGAAGCACCAGACAGTATGCATAAGAATGACGCACGTATAAAACTGGATGATTCATTACGTACAAGAAAAAACCACCACTTTCAAGACATTCAATTGAGAACTTATGAGGATTGGTTTCCATCACAGAAAACCACAAGAAAACTCAGAGAACTGGACAACTGAGACATCATAATCAGGGGCATCTCAGTAACACAGATCCACATATCACAGGGAGATCAAGGTTATAGCAACCAAGTCCCAAAGCATGTACACAGCTATTAGTGTACAATGCCGTGGCTTCCTTTCTCGAAAATATGTATGTGACATTGTGTAATGATCACCAGATGAAACCGATGGGTATCCATCTTTACTCTTGATTTCTTCAATAATGACTTCTCATTAGAACTTTAGGAAATCTACTTGAGAACAAGTTTCTAACCAACGCTAGAAAGTAATTCAATTGGTAGTTTACTAGGATTGATTTGACTTCGAAATAGTTTCGATCATGAATTGAAATCAGTTGAAGAAACAAGTAATTGTTGAGCTCTTATTTTGAATACTTGTCTATTTTAAAGAAAAATTAATGATAATAATAACTCATGCTGTAAAATGATTTCATTAATTCTCTCTACAACCCCACACATATATACTGGCTGCTGGTTAGTAAATGAAGTGAATTTGAAATCGTAAAATGATCCAACAGCATAAAGTGCGACTTTAATCACAACATAGCATCAAAGTTTCTGTCACCTGCTTAAAACTTAAGCTGATAAGAACTTCCATTAAATATATTACATCGACATGGCCCATTTTATTCATAAGATTATAATTTAAAGCTGTCGTATATTTTTTCAACCTGTCGTTTTGTAAGTTAACAATAAAACGTCACGATAGATAGGCGGCTCATGAATGCGCGGAACTGCAGATGTTTTGTAGATCTGCTGAAATTTCATACTGTAACAAATATATATTGTCTAGAATAAAATGATTATTGTTGTTTGTATTATTAGTAGTACAGAGAGTGAATTCAAAAGGAATTTATGATGTGGAATAAGATAGCCCATAGTCTTAATAAATCTTTGAGGATTTTTCTAACCAATCGTTTTGTTCTGAAGTTTCAGAAGAAAGCATGTGAACTAACGTGTAAATAGCAGTTTGGTTGAAGTTATGAAATTCAAGAGGATATTTAAATCTAGGAAGGTCTGGAAGTAGCTAAGGCCATTGTAAATATACACAAACCATTGTATTTTATATACACTTATGAATTTGCAGTACACCTTATTGTTATATACCACTACGACTCTATTTTCACGCCTAATAAAAATGAAGCTGATTCGAAAATGAAACCTTTTATTGCCAATCCTAAGGGACATAAACCTGGTTATATGTGTAAAAGAGTAGGCAACTGAACAATAACCTTCTGAGCACATCCTTGATGGTCGCTCAGTTCCTCACTGATAAATAGAAAAGATGGTAAAATAAAAGATGTATTTCAACGTCAAAATATGCATTTAATACAACTGTTTACACATACTACAGTACTGACTATTCCTAGACCTTTCTAAAAGGGAATATCTTATTGATTTTGCCTCTCCAATCCATCTGATATTTACACATAAGTTAGTGTGTCTCTTCAATGAAACCTCGAAGCAACACGACTGGCTGTGAAACCCTTCATGACGATTTAAGATTTCTCACAGGGATCTGAATAATCTTTTCATATTCTATAACAAATATCTACACATAGCATGCTTTTAATTGTTACGCTGATCCAAGGGATTGGAAAACAACCTTCAACATATTTTGTCTTTTCAATCTTTCATATGATTGTTTTCTATATCTCTTTTAAAATAAGTCAGAATGTTTGCACATTCATTTACACTAAAGATCTCTAAAGAAAGAACAAAATATGTAGAATAAAAAGGGATTGACTGTAATTTACTTCACCAGAAAATAATAATGCTTTTGATTGAGTTGAATCGATTGGAAATCCATTCAGCAAGCTAATTATCTTACCTTAATGCCCAAACTTCAATAAGTGGAACAATGTTCAAACTCATGACCAACTTGATTGATATTTAAATGTCTAAACCAATGAGTCAAAGTTCCACATACGATAATGATATTCATGCTTGTTACGAACCGAATAAAATGGGAATTAATATTTGAAGTCACTACTAGCTGACGAAGTGAAAGAAAACTGTTGAGCTTCAAATTATGCTCTATGCCTCTGAGTGGTCAGGATGAATCATACTGAACAATTTCTAACTTTAAGGAGGCAATTAGGACAAGTTATTTTACCTTCGATCTAGTGAATTCTTACGTTTGTAAAAACTGTATAGTATATGATGCATTTTAGTCGATTAACGTTCTATCTGGACGTTTGTGGAGGTTTATTAATTCATTTTAGGTTGGAATTCATCATAGACTGACATCAGTTAAAACAACTGTGGAAGCCTAGGAGCACTGAACAGCTGTTTCGTTCTATTAAAAGAACTCCTAAGAAGTGCACACCCATGGCCTCGCCCCGTCGGAGATCGAACCCAGGACCCCCAGGTTCCGTGGCCAGCACGTTGCCATGAATGAAATCCAACTTAAAACCAACTAATGAACCTCCATTAACCTACGGGCAGAATTAATCTAGCACTCATTGATGACTAGCATCGAGAAGTGATTCCCGAAGTTTCAATGAGAAGTTGTGACTAGTGAAGTCAACCAAGCCGTAGATGAGAACAGTTACTCAACGACGACAATGGATGTAGGTAGCGCTATATCTTAAACTGACAGAAGTAGGAAATGTGGACTATCGAATCCCAACTCAGTGACTGAATAATAACGTTCTGGCAGCGGAACCTGAAGGTTATGGGTTTGATGCCTGGTGACGCGCAGTCATGCGTGCACACTGCTGAGTCCCATACTAGGACGAAACAGCTATATAGTGCTCCTAGGTTCCCAATGTTCCTCCAACCCATGATGAATTCCAACCTTCAATAACGTTGTCATTGAAATCACAGGTCAGTCTTTGCCTTCTAATACTTTGTGTTTCACTGAACAGCAGTTGACACATTCAGTTCAAATGTCCTACTAAAACATATCGATAACTAACAGATTTAGGCTCCTACATCACGAGTTCACTGAATAGTAAGTAACAAGGCAAACAGTTCAAAATTTAATAAAGCATGATAAAAAGTATGATTAACGAAACTTTAATCTTAAGTGTGGTTATGTGTGTAAGATATCATTACTACTACTAACTACTACGACTACCATTAACGAAACATCTGAGACAAAAAGTCAATTCATTTAGCATTACTTTACAACTCATGTAAACGTTTAGTAAAACCCATTTCATACCGAAATCAACAGATATAGAAAGCTATCACAATATTAAGGCTTACCATTGTAACCACTAAATACAAAAACAGAAAATTATGCAATCGATGGTGAAATAAATAAATAATAATTTGTATTCAGTAAAGCGTTACTATGGTAAATACATCATAAAATTAATGATAGAATAGGGTTACACACTTAAAAGTATAAAATAATGACCACTGATAATAATAATAATAACAATAATGATATAGTATAGTTCAATATACTTACTGCTTGGTTGAAGGACTATAAGAATGCGTTGGAGAATAGCAATTAGGACTTCTCTTCGAAATATCTTTTTTATCCTCATGTTTTATCTCAACTGGACATATGTTAATCGATGACTTTTTATGTTCACCATAGACAGACTGTTTTTGCAATTGAACTGTTTGAGAGCATACGTCAAAACCACTATCAGAATGACTATGCTTTTGTGCACCGAAGGAATTTTCTGTTTGTGAATTTTTATTATTATTATTATTATTATTATTATTATTACTAACATTACTAGATGTTTTCTGAGGTGGCAGAAGTCGATGACGATGATGATGTGATGATAAATGAAGATTATTTTGATGATTCGATTCATCATGCTCCTGTTTTGTACCATCAGAACTTTCAGGCGGTGTCGATAGACCACTATCTTGATTCGACGATGAGTCTTGAGAAGTAAACAATTGTGAATGGATCGAATTCTACAAAATAAATGTATCAAAAATACCAGAAATCAGATAGAAAATAATGACTAGTTTGGTGGAAATCTACTCGTCTGCGTGCAGCTGTAGCTTATTGGTTTAGGGAAATGACTTTTAACCGATAGGCCACGGGCTCGAGCACCGCTTCACCTAACGAGGATTAGAAAGCCAGGTAGTGTCTCTACTAACCCACATGCAATAGGCGTGATTCACTGCCTAGTGCACGAATGTCTACAAGGCTGCTGAGTGCATTTTGATTCAATTCGGTTGTAATGCCAGTAGTGAATATTTTATGGTAGAATTTCACAAGAAAATTTATATCTTATAAAGGTACTTAAAGATATCGTCGAAAAGAATCAGTTCAAAAAGTATATGCAGAACCTAGTCGCAGTAGATTAACAGCTTCATCTTATAAGAGTAAGCTGGAAACAACCAAATATTTTCCAACAAAAAGGGTTGGAGAATAATAAAAATTAGCTAACTTTCAACAAGGTACAAAGGAAGTCATAAACACTCAAGATTAAAGAAAAGATGAGAAACCTTCAATGAATGTTTAACTGGTTGATCCACTCATCAATAAGCAATCCCTGTAGAATCAGTTAAGGATTCTTTTCAAGTGATAATAACAGAGGCAGTGCCACATGACACTCCCAAGCCACTGAGCTTCACCAACTGAAGTGGTTTGGTCATGTGTTGTGCATGCTAAGTCACCGTTTACCTCGACATACAATGTAAGTGGAAGTAGAATAGGGTTAGAAGAAAGCTTAGGGTGACCAAATCGTGATATGACATCACTCCATCAAATCCCTGGCTGCTTGGTCCGAGCCATGCATGGAGCTGTAGACTACCTCAGTGGGGTCCCCAAGACCATAGGAATCAGTGGGTTAGAAGTCTTAGAGGTATGGCTGGAAACCCGTCACAATGGCGCAGATGTATTTATTCTTTGGTGTCTTCTAAAGCTTTAGAATTTCCACTAACCTTCATCTTCAAGGTATTCATTTTCTCACACAATTTTGTCGACTTTGATGTCAGTTTTTTCCACCCACCCACTTTTTCTTTACTTGGTACTGTGAACTTTGGCAACTCGAACCTAAGCACTTGTGTGCGATGTTCTATGTTCATTATGTCTATCTGTCTGTTCAAGCACATGTAAACACGATGGATAGTCTACGGAACACACTTCAATTTGCACATTCATCAGTGGATCTTGGTACTGTCAAGCGAATCCATATTTTTAAGACTGATATTGGTGAAACATATGATCGATATACGTCTTCTTAAAGAACATGTCGCTGGTTGTATTACTACACCCGTCGCACAATAAGTAGCTATCATGACCAAGTGGGCAACGTTGAGACGTTTGAAGAGGCTGGTCCGGAGTTCAAGTCTGAATGGAAGCAATATCATTCACTGGGAACCAGGCACATCCAGCAGACGAGTCTCAAATAGGACGAAACGCACATCCTGAATTCCACTATGTAAGCCATTATCCATCATTACTGCACAATATTATTACATTACTATCAAGTTTTAGATTAACAAATAACTACTGAAATGAAATCAATAAGAATGCATAGAAACATAGTTTGTTGAAAAGAACGAAGACGACAATGTGAAAATGAAGACAACGTTGTAAATAGTAATTGATAATAGAAAGAACTTCCAACAATAAAAGATATGCATAAATTAACAGTTAATAATGTTGAATCAAGCAATAAAACTCTTAAAAGAAGTCACCTGAAACTATACAAAAACTGGAAGGCTTTTCTAAGGTTTATGTAAATAGAAATCGATAAGCATGCAGGGTATTAAATTTTTCTGAATCTTAATTCATTTGTTAAATGACCCGTCTCGACCAAGACTTGAATTGCCTGAAGGCATTATGGTATCGCTAATTTGCTGCACATGCCAAGTCGCCAACTGCTTTGACCTACCATGCAAGGGGAAGTTCGATTAGGTCGGGAGAAGGTTCCAGGTGGAAAGGCCAAAGGATGACACTAACGTATGATACCTCTGACTGCCGGTGTGAGCTATGTAGGGAGGTGTAGACTACCTACCAGGCTGCGGTCCTCAAGACCATAGGAATTAGTGGTTCAGAACCGTTGGTGAAATAGTTAAAAATCGGTCATAATGATGCAGATGTATTCAATCCATGAGTATTTGCACTAACTTTAATTTTTAAATTTCTGTTCCCTCTATATACCTTTATCTACCTTTATATCAGTCTTTCTCTACCCCCTTTTTTCTTCGCATCACACTGTGTAGTATGGCAACCTGAACCGATGCACTTATGTGCCAGGTTTTATGTTGATTTTGTCTGTCTGTTATTATTCAATTAGTTCTTCTTCCTAATCAATGACTAAGCTTATCTGCAACCTCCAGGAGAATATTGCACTTGCTGTGAGTGATCAATTTTTATTGTCATGGTCATGGATGTTGAATGCTGAGATGACTTTTGCAGTAATATTATAGAATACGCTAACATAATTCAGAAAATTTTGTTCAACACATAATTCAATCAATGGAAATAAATAGGCATGAAATTTTATACACTCACCTTTTTATTAGTTTGTAATCCTCCTCTTCTTGTGAAGGATGATGATAGTTTATTTGAACCATTATCTTTGTGGTCATTGGCTTTAACGTTGATGATTTCTCCAGGTTGTAGAATAACCTCTTCATGTGATGAGGAATTAGATTCACAACTGGGGACTGTATAAAAAGCATAACAACAAAGAAATATATGCCAGTGAAAAAGAAAGTATTCTATGAATCAGCTACCAGCAGTTTAGAGAACAAGATACGGACATTGTACTTTAAAATATAAGGTTTTTACGAATAGATTATGTGGGGACATCACGCGCCAGGTCAGGCTCTCACGTGGAACTCAAAGGCGAACCGACTAGTTGGGCACTCAAAGGTGATATGCAAGAGATCGTGTAAGGAAGAAATGGAAGCTTATGGGCAGTCTTGGAACCAGGTTCAAAAGACTGCAGAGAACAGAGTGGAATGCAGATGTGTTACTGAAGCGGTATGTTCCACTAGGAACCCTAGGGATACATAATAATAATAATAATATAATTTCAGGAAGCGGTTCTCGAACCCGCGACCCATTGGTTGAAAGAAGACTCAGTGAGGCACAACTCCACACTAACAGTACGAGCAGTAATGAACACATTCAACTTCTTTCTGTTCAGTAGTACATCTTACTTATTATAGCTTAAGTTGAGCATCAGATACACAAGGTTATGAAGTTTTTTCTAGTATATGCATCCACGTGTAGTGCACTGTAACGTAGTGTCGCACACTCGGATTTCAATCACACCAAACTATTGATATGATAAACATACAGTGACTGATCATAGCGCGTTATTCTAAGTGAGTGTAAACGATTCGAATATCAGAACATTTGCCAGAAAAATCAATGTAGAATGATGATAAATAAGGCAGTACAACGATGTCATGTCAGTCGCTAGAAAATCAGGATTGAACTTACTTTTCACAAAATTCAACAAATTAAGACCAGTTTATAGACGACTGACTGATGAAATCAAAGTAAAAGCTCGTACACAAGTGCATCGCCTCAAATGACACACTTCACAGTATTACACAAGGAACAGGAGAATAAGAAGTGAGTGAGTCCAAAGTAGACCAAGTTGTGTCAACGTAGAGAATAAACAATCTAGAACCAATCGTTACTGCGAATATTCAAGCCTTAGAAGACATCAAAGAGTTAATACATCTGGGACACTGTGACCGATTTTCAGCCATGTTACCAAGAATCAATCCTCAACCACTGATTTCTTTCCTCTAAAGGACCGATAACCAAACAGTTCACATCTCCCTACAAGACTCCGACCAACAGTAAGAGACTTCATCGACTAATGCGGTATCTTGGTCTCAGAACTCAAAATACTCTTCCAACGTAATCCAACTTCCTCGAGCATGCCACGTCGAAGTAGGCGATGATATAGCATGCACAACACATATTGAAGTCACCTCGGTCGATGAAGCTTCGCAACCTTATCAACCAACTTTCCTGTCTTGCCTAGTACCCATCATCTAATTTCAACATTGCCCACACGGTGATTCCACCAAGGGCCAGCAACGCTACGAAGACATATGTGATCAAAACCCTGTATTAGCTTCATTTCTTTTATTTTTAACGGTCACATGGTCGTATAATAGGACAGGACGAACTGCAGCGCAGTATACCCATCTTTTTAACAGATACACAGATATTAAATGAGAATAAACATTGAAGTACTTACAATTTTGGTAACTGGATAACTGTTTTTGTAAGGCAATAGCACGTTCTAAATTTTCACTCAATTTTCTTGTATCCCCATCTAACTGGAAAATACGCTCCAATTCTTCTGGCGAAGCAATAATACTGGAGCGATTTTCAGCAGTTAACGCCAAATCATATAGACGCTGAAATAAGTTTTTAAAACAATGAGCACATTTTACCAAATAGCATACAAGAAACAAGGATGTGCACTTTGCATTTGCTATGGATTAGATAACCAGTAATAAAGAGATCGGATTGAAGAACGAAAAAACAACCAAAATCATAATATGATGTAATGTCTTCAATGGAACAATAGATGACACTGAGTAAGTCAAGAAGTGAGTGATCGATAGGCAACCTAACTATTACCGTTCTGAACTTTACTCACATGTTTTGTTTTGATGACATAACTTTTTACACTTATCGTTGAGCTGATGAAGGATGTCAAAAGGCTTATCAGTATTTAGACATTTTAGTCTGTGAATACTAACTACAAAATCGAATACACTACACTGCTAACACATCACCAGTTTGGGATGATATTGTTTTTAGCACTGCTTCTATTCGACGGCATTATATAGCGGACAGTGCTGAAAACTGTAGAGCTGTGGTTCATTGGTTCAGACAAGCTCACGGTTTTCAAACCCACTTCGCCCACTAAGGTTTGGTCAACCCAGCAGTGTCATGTCTCCTCATACAACAGATGTAATTCATCTCTTAATGTATACACACTTATACGTGATTGCTGAAAGTAAGGAGTGTTGAAAACAAGTCTACAATCCTTCACAAAGAAGTCAATCAATGGAACTGTAGGACTAAAATTACTAAGGCTATAGGAACCCCTTGCTGACGAATACCGATAAGTACGAAACTCAGGTTCAAAGCTTCGCCAAAACTGCCTCCTACTATCTAATATCAATCGAAGTGCAGTGTGATTCTGAGTCTCGCACCTTGACGACCACACTACGAAATGATTAATAACGTTCGACTAGCACACAGGAATAGACAACATGAAATCGGTTACCCTCCTGTGATCAACTGGCGCGGAATGTACTACTCATGACAAAACCACTGTCCATATCCAAAACTGTGAATTAATATCTTGAAGTTTCATGCATAAGAAAGGAAAGTGGATAAACAGGAGTCAGTAACTGCATAAAGATTCCTTGGAAGTCATTTATTGATATTTTGTAATGACCAGCCGTAGAAACTTACTTTGTTTTCTGTTTGTAAATCCGAAACACACGGTATTCAATCTCTATAAGAATCTGTGATACATCCTAGTATGAAGTGTTTCAAGAAAACAGTAAACAAATAAAAACGGTAGTTTTATTCAACCAGTATGTATATACATCACAACTATGACTCTCTCGTAGTAGTCAAATCCCTCGTCACCGGCACACATTTAAGTCATATCTATTAACGCTGAAACCGATAACTGAACATTTGACACGCCAGATGTGACGTGATGACTGGGTTTCTTGTGTTACAATCTACTAAATTCCCACCCGTAATGGTCTGGGGATTTCTGATCGAAAATAGTTGCCTAACAGTTGACTGCGTGGTTAGGATTGTGAGCTAACTGACTATTTGGTTGGTTTTGTATCGACACATTAACGGCATTATACTCGCATTTTAGATGAGATACAAAGTCGGGATCGCTAGTGCGTTTACCTGTACTCTGTATAAATTGTAAGTTCATGATCTACTGCATAAATTAGTGAGTGAGTCGATGGTTACAGACCTCACATCACTTGATGTTCTACGTCATGCTGTCAAATATAAAAGCAAATTTATTCAACCTTCTTTTGACTGATAAGCACTGATAGCCTATAAAATAATTGGTATCAATTTATCAAGTAGAAATTTAATCAATATACAGCATAGCCCACCTTCATTAAATTGTACAATTGTTCAGCCCGTACAGAAGTCATAGGAAGTTGTTTTATCTTATTGTAATGTTGCATCAATTCGAAATAAACACTTTCAAGTTCTGATAGTGAATCTATTCAAAAAAAAGAGAAATATACAGGAAAGGCATTACATGTTATACTGCAATATTATTATTATTATTATTATTATTATTAGTTCCTAATGGAACATAGGGCTTCAGTAGCACGTCTCCAGTACACTCTCTTCTCTGAAATCTTTTCAACCTGGCTCCACGACAGCCCACAAGCTCTCATTTCGCAAGATCTCTTCCATGTCATTCGCCGCTTCCCATAGGGATTCCACTCGAGGGCTTGACGCGTGATGTCCCCAGTCGGCCTTCTCAGTGTATGCCCAATCCATCTCCACTTTCTTCTGCATATTTGTTGGGTGATACTGCAATATACCAGATGTTAAACATATTAATAGTGAAAATACGTCTCTGGATTGAATTGTCACCTTTTCTTTGAAGCTAAACATCAAGGAAGTTAGACCCTGCCTTAGAGTAAAGAGATGATCACTACTGAAAGTTTGAAGCAGGTTTTCAAGACTCATATTCTCGTCACAAATAATAAAGGTATCATCAATGTATCTTTAGTAGATATGAAGCTCGCTGATAATTTTCGATAAGGATGTGTTTGCCAGGCTTCTAATACAGCAGTCGGCTAGGAGGGATTCTAATGACGATCCCATTATTATGGCATCTATCTCTCAGTTGATTTCATTGTTAGACCTGAGCAAAACCACTTGCTATTGTGTAACTACATTCACTCCTATAATTTAAACATTGGTATCCCAAGCCACTATGTAAATGGAATTTCACCGCAGATGTACTTTAAGCATGTCCTTCAGACTAAACGAAATCTACAGACAGATAGATCGAGTGTTAGTGAAATGGTTACTAGGATCCCTCCTAACTGACTGCTTTGTCGCAAGCCTGGGAAAATACAACCTTAGCAAAAATTACCAGCGAGATTAATATCTACAAAAAATACATAGATGATACCCATATTGTAATTCACACTGCCTAAGATAATATTCAATATCTCGATAATACTGATGGATAGTGACTAACAGTCGAATCCGGGATGTGTTTCTTTCTATTTAGGACTCATCAGCTTAAAATTACAAACAATAAAATAATATTTAATATTCATTTGTGATGCAAATAAACAGTTACGACATGACTCGAGTTCCCCTACAACAAATACTGAACGTCTATGGCAAATGCAAGCACTGCTGTAAAAGCATCTTGTCACCGTTCAATAGTTTCAATATTAGAAAATTAAGTCTTGTAACCGTTTCTGAAAGATTATGCTAAAATTATCCAAGTCAACGATGAGGAATAATATAAAGTTTATGCAATAAAAATCAATAAATAAGACGAAATACATCTCATTGTTTTGTTAAAGCTTATATATCGAACTAATTGTATTAAATAAATTATACGTAGTATATTAATGGTCTGAAGATAATAATGAACCCGCATTTTATGCTTTTCAACTCCGAAATAAAATATTAATCTGAATAGATGACAAAATGAAAGTGAACTAACCTTCAACAATCGGAGACTGTAAAGGGATATAGAAGATAACCGACCATGTTCTGAACGACTTGGCAAAGATGATGGAGATGATAAAACACCACTGTCTGTAGTATTTTTAACAGGTTTATGTTCACTTGAAGATGTTTGATCAGAAAGTTTGAAAATGTTTAAATCTCTCCAATTGGTAGGAAGATCAGATACTGAAGCTGGTTGATGTGGTGGCAATGGTGCAGGTGATGAAGAATTTGAAGAAGATGGTGATAAGACAGCTTCAGTAGCATAACTTCCTAATTTGTTCAGTTGGTCACCTATATGATCCAATTCACATATAAGGACTTTATTGGCATCAAAGTAGGAATCTGTAGTACCATGAGGTAAAAAAATTCAGAAAGTAAAGACAGAGTTATATTTCATGGCATTTAATAGACTAAAACGAAGATCATAAAATATGAATTTGCGGGAACATGTTACACAGAATTTCAGATGATATCAACGCAAACCTTTTACGTTTCTATCTTACTTAAAGTAAATTAAAGATAACAGGTTAAATAATAAAATGGAACACTGAAATTATCAGTTTTTAAGAGTCGTCGTAACATCAGGGTAAGAAAAACTTGAAAGGACTCGGAAGTGCATATTTAACATAATATATCAGTATAATCTACTAGATTTAATGTACCTAGTAGGTATATCGCTCTGTTGTAGGATCTTTACTCGAACACCTGTGGGCATGTTAGAATCTATGGTGAGTTGTATATGTAGATTGGTGCTATGAAGGATCTCCACTCCATCCATTCTCATTCAACTTTATCATAAACGTTCTTATGGAGGTCCCCCTCCCGTTGTGCGACTTCACAGGGATTAATCATGTCACAGGAAACTCCCTGGTATATCAAGAGTTAGTACGTGACACAGTCCAGTTAGGTGAAGTTGACAAAATGTAGTTTTCCAGATACCTTGAGTGGCATTTTAAGAACGTTTGAGATGCGTTTCTCACCACCCAAATGTAAATTATTGCTCCACAAATGCTCTTCACTGGTACCTTGTCTAACAATAGAGAGTGAAGTGGTTGAGTACGTTAAACGCTTCACTTACTTAGGAAGTCGATTCAGCCCTAGTGCGCTGGTTAGTGTTCGACAAAATCTCTGCACGCAAACGGAAGGTTCGGTTGGCTTTTACCAACTGACACCATCTATGGCACCGCTCCGATACCCGATTAACGATTAAGTGTCAAGTGTACTGCGCTGCAGTTCGCTCTGTTCCACTCTATGACTGTAAAACATGGTCAATAAAGATTAAGAACAGGAGAAGGCTTCTGGTATTTGATAACCGTTGCCTTCGTAGCACAAGCCATATGTTGTGGTGTAACCATGTTAGTAACGCAGATGTCAGGCGTAGTTTCTGGTAGAGTATGAAAACCACCTGGTGAAGTTGTAAATCATCATCGACTCAGGTGGCTGGGACATATGTCACTCATGCCTGGTCACCGTCTGACTCTTCGTGCAATGTTGGCTGAATTAGGTTTAGGTTGGGAAGACGTTACGGGGCGGAACGTCAGGATAAAACATAGCATCAGTGTATGAAATACTTGACTATTGGGGAATGTAGACCCCTTGGGATGGAACAGCATAACAACAGGAGCGAATGGTTGGAGACTAAATGATATGGCTCAGAATCGGCCTCAATGGCGCAGGTGTATCAACACATTATCTCCATCTTAATCGTCATACTGAATTCAGTATTTCCTTGTTTCTCCTTCCTCTCCTCTACTATTTTCAATCAATTCTTCTTCATTTCCTCATATCTCATTTTAGTGCTTTCTCGCTTAATGTGCTGATATTCAGTGAGGCAACTTGGACAGTCATATATTAACGCCTGAATCAATCACAACATGTTGAAAACTTGAAAAGTCGATTAAAAAAAGATTTCTTGATAATTTTTAGTAACTTTCACCGGCCATCAAAATTAACTTCACGTAATAAGCGCCATTACAACAGCCAGCCATAAGTGCTACAGCCCTTGACCTTTTCTAGTTTTGTGCATCGAAAATTAAGGGTTTAGACAAGTGGAAAATAATACAACTAAACAAAAATAAATATGAAGAATCATCAACCCGTAAGTAGCCCGTGGTCAGACGGTATGATAAAAACAACAACACGAACTTCAGTAGATCTAGTAAGGTTTTAACTTCAAAGCCAACTGGTCACCAAAACTAGGAGGGTCACCAGCACAGTGAACTTTGATGGTCGGGAGCAATAGGCAGGAAGCCCTGGACCTAGGCTCCATGTTTGATGGCAGTCTTCAGTAAGGGGTGTCTGCAACATCTGGGGAACTGAACTCCTCTGTGAGATCCAAACCCGCGTCACCCTATTTTGCAGTCAGAGATTTTACCACGGACCTGTTCAGGACTCCTCTAACTTCCTATAGAGCTGGAATACGTACGTTGATTGATCATTGGAGAGCACTCAATTTCATGTTGTCTAGTCTTGAAGGCTGACCAAGTCCTACCGATCATTTTGCATTATCATCTTCAGCCAAGGAGGTTGGTTATCGCGGTTCGCTTTGTGGGTATTAGTTGCTTGGAGGTAATCGATAGGAACCCCTAGTGAGCTTCCTAACTTGAAGACCACATTTCAAAATGATCGATATAACTGGATCAGCAGTCAGGACTAGAAAACAGATTGGTTGATCAACGTATGTAATCCAGCTCTACAAGAGGTTAGACGAGTTCTGAACAGCTTAGTGGTAAGGTCTCTGACTACATCATGGGGTGACGCGGGTTCGAATCTCACAGGAGACATCGGTGTTCCCTGGGGGTTTCAGAAACGGCTGATGATTGTCAACAAGCATAAAGCTTAGGTTCAAGGCTTCCTATCGACTGCCCCCGATCAACCAGTATACCATTCAGTGTGCCAGAAAAATAGTTTCGAACTGATAATAAATAGTCCGGTCTAAAATTCATCATACCTTCAAATTTAATATAATTAAAAGTAAACAACATATTCATCAACTCTCAAAATATGTTTCTGTCATTGACTAAATTATAACATACCATTAGCCCAACGGATTTTAGCCAAATCATAGAAATTTTTCAACGTCCCATAATCTAACTGTATTGTCATTAAATCTGATTCTTGGATAAAATGATGTTGAGTAGCAAAAAGCTCCAGTGTAGATAGGCGTGTTTGCAAGTCAGCAACACGTAACAATAGTTCCATTTGTACAGCTTCAGGACCACATATCATATCATTCAAATGTGAATTAGTATTTGTTGATGGTGAAACAGTAGTGAAGTCAGGAAAATCAGTAACTACATTATCTGCAATTTGTATCTGATCTTTTTTTAAAGTTGGTTGTTCATGATTCGGAGAGCCATACATATTTGTAGGTGTAATGTCAATAACTTCTTCGTTGATAATAACTTCATCTCCGACATCTTCATCATGTCTTGGTTCTGATTCTTAGTGAAGTATAATAGGGAAAAAAGAATTACATTTCTTTAAGTTAAGAAGAATGAAAGAATGAAAGCCATCATAAAAGAAAGTTTAAATTACACAACTGTAAATACTCAATATCGTATAATATTGACTAAACTTTAGATTTAGAGTATCCGTATTTCAAACTATATTAACAAATCTAATACCTTAAGTGTGTATATGAAACACAAAATGAAAACAAGGAGTCGAGCTCCAGTCAACGTTGCAATAATAATCAAATATTCAACTCAACAACAACAGATGATCATCATTCTGATTATCTGAGATGGCCATGGTTTAGCAGACTAGTATCTATCCTGGATGACGATTGAAGGTGAAATAGAAATTTGGACTGCGGCAGGATTCGAACCAACGACCACCGGGTTTCCGGCCCGATGCTCTACCAAGTGAGAGGTACAGGGTCCAACTGCTGACTAGGTTTTTATTTCACTTCAATCATCAAGGGTTTTGCCCGACTACCATATGAATTGATGATTGGTGAAATGAAAATCTAGTCAGCAGTGGCACCTAGTAGATCAGTTGGTAGAGCATCGGGCCGGTCACGGTCGCGGTTCAAGTTTTCATTTCACCTTCAAGCATCACCCAGTATAAATAACGGATGCGTTTTATGTACTGGATTAAAAGGTATGCAAGATAGCTAGTGACATTACCCAACTGCATAAATCTTAATGGCGAAAGCCAAGTTTGAACTGAAAACTCGATTACTTCAAGTCAAGTGAAACATTCAATAAGCCATTCAAGAACGGCTTTAGAAAATAAGATTCCATAACACAACTTAGCTTTCATTGACAGTCTAAATTAAATGATTAGATTTTTATAATTTTCCGAGCATACAATGAAAATAGAAATCAGAAATAAATGAATGATCCTGATTCAAATTTTTCTGTTAACTAATATAGATAGGTACTGTTGAAATGTATCAACATGGATGAAACCTATATTAACTGCTCTCTCATCTGAACCGTCAACATACTGGTTCACAAGAACCGTTTACACTGCAAACTATCGAAATAATTATGTTCTATGCTATAAAAAATCGGGTAGAGATTAGACTTAAAAAGGAATATACGAGACTAGTTCCCCTTTAAAACAAATAGTCAACTAAGCTATAGAAAAGAATTTGTCTGATTACATAGACAAAAAGATAGATAGACAGATAAAATCAACAAAGAACCTTGCACAAAAGTGTATCGGTTCAAGCTGCGACACTTCACATTAACAGGTCCTTGAGATGTTAGTTACTACCTCATATACGCCTCAGACCAACAGTGAAATATTTCAGAAAGTGGTGTTACGTCGCGATCTCGTCACCCTGGGCCTTCTTATCAACCCAATCCTCCTTCAGTTAACACTGCACGTCAAAGTAGGGAGTGGCTCAGCATGTAAAACACATATGTCCAAGCATCCCCAGTCGGTATAGGTTTACAATTATATCGACTAGTTCGTCTTCCTTCCCTGGTACACTATCACTAGTATCAACATTGTTCACATAGTGATTTCACCACATGCGAGCTATGCTATGAAGGCATCTGTCGTCAAAAACCTGTATGATCCAACTACATCCATCGTATGCTTATGATTAATAAGGCTGAAGTGTTTAAACCACGGTGGTAATGCATATAAAACAACGTTTCGGTGGGCTAATTTGAGGAAATCTGAAGGTTACTCTTCATTTCGGTTTCGTGAACTTCCAGTAATACTTGTCAACAATGCATATCTGCAACCCTATCGGAAACCGTGTTTCATTTCCAGTCTGAACCACAAATTCAAACACAGATACGAAGGCTGCGAATTTCAAAACAATGGAAACTATAACGGAAAGAATTCGTTGACATCCTGCTACCAACAAAATTTCTTATAGTCAATAAAAGAAGGAAATCAGTGAAAATGAACAAACGAATTACAGGGCTGTGAAGCATTCACACTGGACGACTGGTAATGATGTAAGTAGGATATCATGACGTTGTAACCCAGTAGTTGAACGATGATCGTCTGAACCATTCAATTACAGCTTACTATGGATAAATCAACTAAAAGTCATAAACATATTTACACAATCAGTATTCGTAAGACAAATACCTCAACTGATGAGATAATCATAAGAACGTTACACAGATTGACATAAAATACTTACCTGTAAAACTGTTATTCCTACTAGCAGATGTTTGTATATCCATATGCTGTTGCTGTTTAATGCCGAAAGACGAAGTCGTAGTTGTATTCCGTCTGCAACTGTTTGATTTTTGTATTTGATCATCCGAGTGTCCATAGTGGAGACTGGTTCTAGATGGCGAAGGGTCAGAGATTTTTCTATAATTATTTTGATCAGAAAGATTTGTATGCATGTTTTCATTAACGCTAACATAACGAAGAAGAAAATGCACAAACGTAGTTCATAACACATAAAAAAGCATATCAATGAATAAGAAATATCAAAAACGGGAACTAGACATTTGTCAGTGTTAAATCCAGTTCAAGTTTCATTTAAAGCGATCAACTTTCGTTTACACTGAATACATTGTTGTATTGCAATGTGGTATTATTATGCTCAAACCGAATGTATACAGAGGCGGCAGGTATCGCTGTACCAATGAGGCAATCACCATCAACATCAACATAGGACCAGGCATTACTATACAACTATTCAGGATGTCACACCTCATATCAACGCATCAAGTAACAAAGTAATAAGACGAAAGATGAAGAAAGAAAGAAATCAGTCAGAAACGGTAGATAGTAGTACAGGAGAGAGGGAAGAGAAATGAGAAAATGCTGAATTCAGTATAGTGATCGAGATGAAGGTAAAGTATGGATGCGTCTGCGCTACTGCCATCAATTCTCAGACATATCACCTAGATCTTTCAACCACTGGTTTCTGTTGTCACGTTGACAGCAACCGGCTAGTCTGCATATCCCTACATCGCTCAAACCAACAGTCAAGAAATTCATCCAGTAATGCAATATCTTAGTCTCCCCACTTCGAACCTTTTTCTAGCCTGAACCTACTTGAGCTAATATTGCACGATGAGGTAGACGGTGGACTAGGGATGCGTAATACACGCTCCAACCATCTCAGTCGATGAATGCTGATAACCGTATCAACCGACTTCTCTCCGAAAGGTCAAAACCTGACTTCTACGTTACTGACATGTTGGCTCAATGACACAGCTTATGTTATGAAGGCAGTGATGGATAGAAGCCTTCTTCTGTCCTCAACCTTAAATGACCATGTTCACAGCGATACAGAAGAACACAGTCAAAGAAGCATTATAATCGCTAAGGCTTCATCATCAACCAGAATTACAGAGCGAATGCCAACTTTATCAGATGTTTGAAAATGTCAATCCCTGAATCTCAACCAGTACACTGTGCTGCAGTGTATTTTGTCCTGTTATACGGTTGTGAAACATGACCATTAAAATCGGAAGCCATGTAGCAGTTACAAGTTTTCGATCACAGGTGTCTTTATACCATTCCTTGAGTTAGGTGGAATCACCATCTGAGCAATTTTGAGGTCAGGCAAAGGATACTCAGCAGTACAGATAAACTGATTGAAGTTGTGAACCTTCATCGATTGAAATGGCTTGAACATGTGTTATGCATACCGAGTTACCACCTACGTCCACTTGCCATGCTAGAGAAATCTGAATAAGGTCGGAAAACGAGTCAGGATAGCGAGACCAAGACTTGACAACAGTCGATGAAATTCCTTACTGTTGGTCTGAGCCGTGTGGATAGACGTAGACTGCCTGGTCAAGGTCCCCGAAACGATGGGAACCAGTGTTTGAGGGCGATTGGTGACATGGCTAAAAATTGGTCACAACAGTGTATGTGTTCACGTCTTGGCATTTCTTAAAGCTTGAATATTCGTACTAACCGTATTCTTCAAACTGTTTATTCTCTTAGTCTTTTTCTATCCACTTGTTGTTTGTATACTATACTGTGAAGTGTGACAACTTGAGGCGATGCGCCAATGTGCAAGGTTTTACTTTGATTTTGCCTGTGTATCTCTCTACGTGTCACTATGAGACCTAATGGTGGTACTAAACTCAACCCAATATAGGATCGTGTGTGGACATCGATAAGGAATAAAAACTAGCATCAAGTTGTCGCGTATCATTCAGTTGATTTTGTACGAAGGACAATAAGCGTCGAATGCAGACCTCTATTAATTAAGGTTGAACTAACTATTCGTAACAAAAAAAATGAATAACCTGCACAATAATATCCTTAATTACTGTAGGAAGACTAGGAAGTTTTTTTATTCAAAGAATGAAGTAAATATTCTTTAGTCGCATAAAAAAAGAGTACAATATGCCTAAAAGAGTTCAGTTCATGACCAGTTATGTAAACATGGAATCTCATACATCGATTTACTGCTAGTAAAAACATACTTCAAGATCAACAACACAGTATTTAAACTTACACGGTATGATCCTGACTACATGAAGATTTCCTACCATTACTCAACGTATTCGTATTAGAAATATTACTATGCTGAACCATTTGACTGGAATTGCTTATACTTCCTAGTCCAGTCTCCCAACTTTCAGAAGTTGTTGATAAAATTCTCTCATCATGAACTGATGAGTTTCTTTTCATTCTGTTTCTCTGTTGTTCTAATAATGGTGTTGAAGAATAATGTACAGTAGTAGTAGTAGTATTTTTGTTAGAATTATTTTCATTTTGATAACCATTAGCTTGAGTACAATTTTCATCTGAAATAATCTTGTGATTATAGTGTAACGTTTGCATACTATGTGATCTTGGTTTATTCAATGTATTCCGCGGGATATCCGCATCGTTGACATCAATACCGACGCGCATACCCATACGTAATTGATCTATGGTGACTTCAGCTAAAGCATGCTTAGTTAAAAGATTATCATAGTACATTTGTAATTGCTTGATATAGTCGTCTTGTTGTTTACGAATGATCATTGCCTAAAAAGGGAAGGAATGAAGTGTATATATTAGAAGAAGACAAAATGTTATACGAAAAATCCAATTAAGGCATAATTTATGGTCACATATATGATAACGGTATCGGATGATGATGATGATGATTATGCTCAATCAGCTAGATTGCAACACATCAGATTTCAAATTCTATTCAATTATCAACTGTTTTCCGACCAGGTGTTGTTCCGATAAGAGAAAAAACAGCGTCCTTAAGAGGCTTTATTGATAAACCTAGATGTGATTTCAGAAGTCAATTCCAAATAAAAGAAAACAAACCAGATCATCAAATAAATAACAGTTGGTCACTTGAAGATAATTCTAAGCATAATACGTAAGCGGAATGAAGTATGTACATAACGCCTAAATGATTTTAAGTGTTGAAAGTAGTGAAAAACACTTAATGTAAATGCTGACGACAACAGGTGAAACACATTCACATACAAACCTGGAAGAAAAATACTCTAAATGCGAGTGAATTCGTGAATGTTTGCAGGGTTAACGCAGTACGCAAGCTGTTATCCTCAAACTTAATGAGTGAGTGTCAAAGCCCTGCAAAATCAACTGCAAAAAACAAAAAACATGTTTTAATGAGGGGAAAAAACACACTCTAAACAAAAGCTGGACAGTTAAATGACGGTGGTACAGACGATGGTAATGAATGAATTTGAAAAAAAGCCTAAATCAACGTCTAACTTCACAGAAACTTTCTAACAGCTTCGACCATTTGTGCTATCTACGACGATATTATTATTTATTATTTGTCCCTTGGGTTCCTAATGGAACATACGGCTTCAGTAGCACGTCTCCAGTACACTCTCTTCTCTGAAATCTTTTCAACCTCGCTCCACGACAGCCCACAAGCTCTCATATCCTCCTCGCACGATCTCCTCCATGTCACCGACAGCTGGGACGCCCAATTCGTCGCTTCCCATCGAGGGCCTGATGCGTGATAGACTCAGTCGGCCTTCTCAGTGTATGCTCAATCCATCTCCACTTCATTCCAGTGCATATTTGTTGAGCGATAGGTTCTTGGTTGTTTCGTTGACAGCCAGAGTTCCTTATTTCTCATTCTTTCTGGCCATCTGAGCTTCAGTAACGATCCAGCGTAGGCAGTTGTTGATGAATGTTTGTAGTTTGCTAAAAATGCCTTTCGTAACGCACCAAGTCTCTCATCCATCACACAGAAGCACTGACTTCACGTTCGTGTTGAATATCCGGATCTTGTTCCACATGCTGAGAGCAGATCTCCATACTGGTTTCAGGCTAATGAACGCCTGTTTTGCTTCTCCGATCCTGGCTTCGACATTCTCGTCTGTGCCGCCTGTAATTGAGACAGTGCTGCCTAGATAAGTGAAAGAGGCTACTTCCTTTAAGTTTCCGCGCTGATAGTGATTGCAGTTTGTTGTTTTTGTTGGTTAGGAATCTTCACCACCTCTGTCCTCTCTATATTCATTTGAAGTCATGAAAATACCACGTTGATATTCGTCATAGACTGACTTTCGTTGGAGAGGCATTGAATTCCAACCTAGCACCCACAATGATAACGCGCTGGTCACGGAACCTAATGGTCGTGGGTTCGATCCCTAGTGGGTGTGCACTGTTAAAGAGTCCCATACTAGGACGAAACAGCTGAACAGTGCACCCAGGTCTCCAGTCTTTCGACAACTCATGTCAGTCCATGATGAATATCTGCCTGGAATCAATAAATAAATCCTCACAAACCTCCAAATTCAGAGGACATCAATTAGTCAGCCAAGGTAATTTCATACAGCCTAGTTAATAAATTGATCATTTAACGCAAAAGAAACTTCCAGAAATCAATGATGAGACACAACGATCACAGGTGACAGGTCTAGTTGTTGATATGTAAGAGTCAGAGGTACAGTTCCTGGAATTATGAGTAGTATCTTCTGTTCAAAACTTCAACAGTAACTGAAACTTCGCCTGTATGATTCATTAAAAAAAGAAAGAATCATAGTCGAATTATACTTAACCACAGTGCCGAAATTTCATTGCCTAGCATACAGTTTCATCACTTTGGTGACTGACAAAGATATTTAGGCCCCTTAGGTTTGCTTCAGCCTGAATTTTTCACTTAAGTAGGCGTATTGCTGGAACTAATAGAGACTAACCGACCATCAGGAAGCTTACTCAATGGAATGCCATTTTTTAACCGTTTTGTTTATGCATTCACTGGTTATGCAATAATTCTATCTTTACTATAGCAATCACATTCTGTACATATGATTTGAAATGCTACTCACCTCCCCATTACATACCAAAATTATAAGGATTTATTTGTTGGAGAGTAAGTAGTATAAGCAGTCGCATCCTAAATGACTTGATGGTTGATTCTCTGACTTCAGCACTGAATGACACCACTTCGGACTATCGAGGGAACACCAGTTTCCCCATGGTTGCTGATAACGCTTACTGTAAGAACCAACACACACAAAACCTACGTCCCGTCATCTAACAAGCAGAGGATTTCTCATAAATAATCAGTAGTGGCGAAACATAAAGTCATCTTCCTGTCCTTCAGACCTTCAGACAATATGTAGGCATCCCAAAGGAATCTCTATGCTAACAGAGAAAGATCAATTATATTTGGTATCACGACCAGCATATAGCAAGTACCAGAAACTAACAACCGATACTCGTTCCACAAGACGAGGGTGCCTGTTTCGAGTCTCGGTGCGAACACCATTACTTACTGGAATGAAGGCACATCCAACTGACGAGTCACAAATAAAAAAAAAAATGTGCATCCTGGTTTCCACAGTTAGCCACCACCACCACCACCACCATGCGAATTATTCATTTCACCTCGACTGTTTGAAGGATGAAAGAGAACAACTCCACTCCATGAATGATGTCAACGACACACTGCGAAGTTATAGAAAATTAAATAACTGACTCTGTACACACATGTTATTTTGATTAGTTTAACAAACATAAAATGATAACGAAAATGAGCAAAGGTAAACGACATCGATCCAATGTTTAGATGTCTTACTGTGTGTAGCTCTTAAACTAGTCAAGTTATAAAAAGTCTGTGAGATGAAATACACGGGGCAATTCATTCGAACTGAGAAGTGTATATGTGAACTCAGACTATGAAGTTTGACAACCTTACTTTTGTTCTCATATCAACGTGAAATCATCTATAAGCTCTACCCTTCCTCGTTCCACCCCACCCCACCTCTCTCCCCTGTTGCAACGTACACACAGTCTAATTATGCTCAAGTGGAAGATTAATGTAAGGAATGTGTAAAAACAATGACACCATTGCAAAATCTTGTCACCATAAAATCTATGTATACACACATATACATAATAACCAAGGTAAGATGTGAACCTTACTCATTATCAGTATTGACAGTGTATGTCTGTGTCTGTGTGTCTCTCTGTCTATCTATCCGAAATGCACAAATGGGATTCATGTTATGCAATAAGTGATGTTCCACAAACAATATTGATTTAGATTATAGGCTGTGAGAGAAATTGGACAAGAAATACCTCGTTTTGCATGTTATGTACATATATTTGCATGACTTCGTACAGTTACGAACTCTCACCTACAGGTTCCCATTACACTGACTGGAAGATTATGTGGAGAAGCATAAGAAACCCAACAGTACTGCACAACTGTCTCGTCCTAGTATATGGGACTGACTCCTCAACAGTGTAAAGCTATGACCTCGCCCAGCCACAGATCGAATTCCACGACCTTAAAGTTCTACGGCCAGCACGTTACCATTGAGCCACACGGCCAAAATTCAATGATCCACATTCCCTACTCTATCAGTTCAGGATACAGCACCACCTCCATCTAATGCTGTTGTTGAATAACTGTCTTCACACCTGACATGGTTGCCTGCACCAATTGATGTCAGCTAGTGATGAATACCAAACTGAAATCAATAAATGGGTCCCCACACACCTCCAAATTGAAGGATTATGTGTCGTAGATAAGATTTCATGGAACTGTATTCACTCTGAGTTGTGAAATTTGAGCGATGAACTGTTTCTCATTGTTTCACTTGTTGATCCAACCTAAACTTCGAAAAGTAGAGTCCTGACTCATTGATTCAGACACTTGAATTCGAACAAATGGCCCACGGGTTCGAGACCCTCTCCACCTATTGATGTTTGGCAACCAGGCAGTATCATTAGTCTGCACACAATAGATTCGGCTCACTAACTACTGTAGGACCATACATGTGGTTGCCGACTGCATTTCAACTTTTTTCAATGGGATACTTGATTAAATAAACATGTAGAAAAGGTAAGTTATGGTTCCCAGTTTCTTCAGTCACAGATGTCAAAGAGTTGAAAATTAGGATCTAATAAATATCCAGTACTATAGTGTTGAATACCAGCTACAGTCCAATACGCTTTCAAAGATGATAACCCCTTAAAATAATAGATGATGCCGATTCTGAATAACCGACGCTTCTGAAATCCCTCGGATCCTAATGCCAGGAAAGGAAAAAATGGTTTCATAACTTCTCGAAATCTATCAGAAAAGTTACACAAATGAACAGTACAGATGAATTCAAAATGATTCTTAATAATCTTAGTTTAGAAGATCACAAACTTTGTAGATCTTCAAGAACACAAACATACACATGTGAAAATAAAACAGCTAATGTTGCATTAAACCATAAACTACCAAGCCGATAACAGTTCAGAGGTACACGGTCAGAAGAGAAACACTTTCAAGTGAAAACACATATAAACAACAGAGGAAGGAAACAATATACAATTCAGTAGTAGTAGAATGAACAGAAGATAGATATACGAAACATGTTGTAAGTGACTGACAATGTAAACCACATTTTTCAACTGTCCACCATAACTTATACAGTACTTGCTGTTTGAATATGGTAATACAGACGCCGACAATAATATAGAAAAAGAAGAACTTACCATCAGTATATATATATATATATATATATATATATATATATATATATATATATATATATATATATGATGTACACGCAAGCATGACCCCCGCCTTATGAACGCTACCTACTACCAGTTTCGCTACAGCACAAAATGTGTACAAGTGAATAAGTAAACTAAAAAGTTCTGTTTAACTTTCACTCAAAACGAACCACTGTTTATGATGTCATGTGACAAATAGTCAACATAAAAAGTGAAGGAAGCAAAAAGAGGAAAATCACCTACAAATATGTCCAGCTGATAATAAAAAGGATGAAAAAATTGGCAGTCATAAGAAGTTTGAAGTAAAATAGAAAATGACACTTCGAAACAAGGTAAAACATGATCCAGAAAAGTTATCCATTGTTTTGCAGAGGAAATCTGATAATAAAGAGTACGGCCTTTCGATTTTCCTTTTAATACCATAAAATCGATAAAGATGTTTGGCAAATAAATAAGAAAGCTTCACAGTGAAATTACTCCTGATAATCTTGTCTAGGTTCAGGTCACAGAAAGCAATGTAGCCAAGACGTAGGGAATGTGTCCGTTACTGTAAGCAGCAGTAGTATAATGTTACCGATCTCATTCATTATCTGAACAAAGTCAGTTGTGAATATTATTGGTCTTCTATTGATTTAAACATTTCAGATGTCAAATATTCCAACTCAATCTGAAAGTTGGTGAGGATTTATTTATTGATTTCAGATTGCTACTCACTACCGACTGATATCAGTTGGAGAAACATTGGAAACCTGGGAGAACTGGACAGTTGTTTCGTCCTACTATGGGACTGACTCCTCAGCAGTGAACATTCACGACTCCCCCAGGGGTCGGACCCAGGGACTTCAGGTTCCGTGGCCAGCACGTTACCACCATTCACCCAATGAGCCGAACGGAATCCAATACTCTATATTTCCTACTCCTGTCATTTCACAACAGAGCCCGATCTCCATCCAACTCTGTCATTGAACTACTGTCCTTACGTCCGACTTCGTCAGCCCCACCAGTCACAACTTCTCACTAGAATTTCGGGAATCACCTCTTGAAGCTAGTCACCGATGAATACTAACCGAACTGTCTCTACATAACATATAAGCTAATGAAGATAATCTGTGCCCAAATTAAGAACTCATCATAAATAATGAGTACCTCGAAAACAATTATGATCAAATACTAGTAAATCCCATTATTTCTTCGTTAGCAACGTGATAAAGTACAATATTTATTGGATAATAGAGTGATGAAGTAAACTAGGCGAAATCATAACTTGTTCTACTGGGAAAATAGATCTTAAAATCGGATCTCTTCTCATAAGGCAGTTGCATTGGAATCTGTAAGAATTTCACTTCTTCTTACATCACATACAAACTTTGTAAGTTTCTAGATAAAAGCAAATGGTAAATATTGTAGACTCTAAAGGAAAGGATTAAATTGTTAGAAAGGTTAGAATGACAATGAAACTTCTTGGTTCACGCCTCTAGTAGGCAGAAGTACACAATGCTAAAATCCATATACAGAGGAATGCATATACAGCCGGATGGTAAGACAACTACGCTGAGGGTTAGTTACACCGATTCAGCAAGTTCTCGCAACCACAGTAAGCAGATAATCACGTCAAGGTTATTTCAACCGTTAATTTCATTAACACTACGAACCTGGGGAGATTCTATTTCATAACCTGACTACCTTGAATTGTTTCAATTCAATTCCCACAATATTGCGAAATAGCAGTAGAAGAATGTAAAGCATTGGATTCCGTCCCAGTTGCTGAATGAAAGCCAGCTTACCAAGAAACCTGAAGATCTTATGAGGTTCAAACCTTGTCCTGGTTGTGGGTACCCATTGCTGAAGAGATTCATACTAGGATGAAACAATTGTTCAGTGCTCTCAGGTTTTCAATGCTTCTCTAACTGATTTCAATCCATAATGAATACTACCTTGAAATTGTTCATCAATGTTAGACGTGTAGGCAGGTAGAAAATATCATAAAGCATGAAAGAAAAGTAATGTTATTCTATATCCAAAAGGTTTTATTTTGAGAAAATAATTTAGAATAAAGAAGAAATGATATAGCTATGAAAAGACTATAGTTAATCTTCACTGACTAGACAAAAAGAATGAGTCATTAGGGATTACCTGCTCTTAAATAACATCTTCTTTTGTTCTAAGTCTTGACCAGATAATCAATATACAAGGAGAAAATGTGAATATTACCTTATGTCGCTACGTGCTCTCATATACATATTATATATATATATATATACATATTATATATATATATATATATATATATATATATATATATGAGATTTATACCTACTAATCGTATTATTACGATTAGTAGACATAGTATGAAATATGAAATGAACTTAAAATGAACTTGAATTTACACAAATGAAAATTTGATCACATCTTATTCAATAAATAAGTAAATACGGCAATAGAGATGTTTACAGTAATTGACTATGATTTATGATTGTGATTTCTACAACTTCTACCATCACTACTACTGCTACCATAATTGTAACGTATAGTAATAGTAGTAAAATGACTTATTAAGTGTGTAGTGTAAAATATTCTGATTGGCTGCATTGATACTATAGCAACAGATTTAAGCAATTGTTTAAAAATAACTAGCCTATTGTAAAAAAAAATATAAATACCCAGCCACTGAATTGAAGCTCCACATCTGCAAGCAATCCAGCAAGTGTGCAGTTTGTGACTGGATTTCAGATGTCAATTATATAACATAAGGAGAATTCACACTATCAGGACGGTGTTAAGTTATAGTTATAGGATTTATCTTGCTTTGGTGTATTTTAAGCCTTCACACTCATTTACAAGGTAAATACTGACAAGATCATTCAGCCTGATGATCAAATATGTTTGCAGCTAGACGTTAATAATTTTTTTAAAAGTCGACATACACAACTAACCATCCTTCATGACTGTTTATATTATCATTTTCCATCCCAGTGACTGATTGATAGAGATTAGTTAAGCAGGAACCATTGTTGATCATATCACTTGCCATTGATTCTTTCCTCTTCCATATGGAGGTTCGTGGAGATAGGTTGACTTCAAGACGATATTCATCACAGACTGACATGAGCTGGATAAGCATAGAAAACCTGAGAGCAGTGAATAGCTGTTTCACCCAAGTATGAGACTTCTCAGCAGTTTGCACCTATGACCCGGGCAGGGACGCGATGCAGGTCTCGTGGCAGCCACGTTACCATTCAGCCACTAGGTCATAATCCGATAAGATATCAACCACACCATCAGTATTCGAATCATACATGATCTAGTCTACGTTATCCTTATAAATATTTACGAAGGACCGAAGATCATTCGTCTAGGCTTAGTTCGAAAGTCTTATATTAACTAGGATATCTGCAATAGCTTTATCACATGAATTCCGATCCTTAGCAATTACAATGACTTAGTAAATCAGTTGTGATTACGCTAAAAACACTTAACGAAAGGCAAGCATATATCAGTTTGACTATCTAAGATAGTCATGGTTTGTCAGGCTTGTATTGACACTGGATGATGATGATTGAAGGTGAAATGAAAATTTGGGCCGCAGCAGGACTTGACCCAGAGACCACCCGGTTTCCAGTTCGATGCTCTACCAACTCAGAGCTACGAGACCTGACTGCTGACCAGATTTTTATTTCACTTCAATCACCAAGGGTTTTGACAGACTGCTATTTGAATTCGTGATGCGTTAATATCACCGAATTACTACCACATTGCCGACCAGAAATAGAGTATGTACACAAAGATTTTTATTATATTTTACTATTTAGTTCAAAAAATTTATTTTACGGAATAAATCACTTAGAAAAGTTCTGAATGAAGAAATCCAAACCTACTTGTAAAGTGATGGTGTCTGTCAACAGAGAAATATATGATGAGCTGATGATTATTAATCACGTTACGCAATACAACTATCAAACCAGTAGACTGACAATTCGGGGAGACTAGTGTTTCAAAGCTAGTTGCAATAAAATCCTCTCTTTATAACACGGTTAATGGTATACAAGTAACAAGATTCAATTTTATCTAGATGTGATCAAAAGTCTTATAATCAGATTTTATGTTTTACAGTAAACATCAGTGATGAAAAGTGCTTTGTGGAATAAACACAAATAGGTTCATTATGCACTTACTTCCTCTAATTTAGCCTCCAATTCACATTGTTTCGTAGAGGATTCAGTTGAGCCAGATTGTGAATTTGTAGAATTACTGTTTGATTGACAAGATGCCTTTTGTCTTGAAGATGATGGGTTACAAGATGAGCTTGGTGAATGCATAGATACAGATTGATTTCTGCTTAGATTTTAAAAATTAGAGAAATATTCATGTAAGTATTAGGAAATAGAGTCAAAAAAGCATTTGATAATAATTAAACGAGAACTCCTGGTCATCGTTGATTAATTAGAATGATGAACCTAAAGAAAACCCATACTTATGAACTATAAGATAGATAGATAGATAGATAGATAGGCAGACAGACATAATCACCGAGATTCTCTCACACAAGTGCATCGGCTCAAGTTACCACACTTCACAATAGTACACAAAGAACAGGTGGATAGAAAAAGTGTTTCCAAAGTAGACGAAGTTGTGTCAATGTAGAGAATAAACAATCTGAAGATTACGGTTAGTGAATATATTGAAGCTTTAGAAGATGTCAAGGAGTAAATGCATGTGTACTATTGTGACCGATTTTCAGCCATATCACCAAATGACCCCAACCACTGATTCCTATCGTTTAGGTGTCAAGTCTTGGTCTCGCCATCTTGAATCTTTTTCCAAACTTATTCAGATTTCTTTAGCATGGCAAATCGACGTAGGCGGTAAGTCGGTATGGACAACATATGTCCAAGGAATCTCAGTCAACTAAGGTTCACAATCTCATAAATCCATTTACCTAGTTCCTTTTGTCTGACCTCAACTGTAACTTCTTCATACCTTCTACTTTTAACGGACAGGACAGAACAGAATGGATAAATCACAGTCGATTAAAGGGAACCAATCAAAGTTGAAAACCTTTTTACAAGACACTTCATATCATCGAAACGTCTTTAGGGACGAGAGCTCATCTGATTCCAGCACTACAATAAGCACGTTCACCGTATTTTTTTTATCAAATTCAACTTTTCTCATCAGCTTATAACAATTGGATGAACTGTTAACCGTAAGGTTCAAAGAACGGTACACACAAAATAGATCTCCAAAGCTATATTATCATGTTTTGGAAACAAAGCATCATATCATTTGTATGAAGATTTAAAAAATTCACTGGATACGTCCATATTGCCTCCTTTAACTAAACGGATAACCATTTAAAATTCATTGACAGAGAAACACTACAGAAACCTGAATCCAATAACTCATCTTTCCGAAATTTATCGTCTTTGAAGATCTATAAAAGAGAAGCTTTATATGCAGCTGGAAGTAGAGAACCACATTCTTCCCCACATAGTTTTTAAAACAATGTACACGGAAACGTCTACACGCACTGGCTGAACCTGGTAACACCTGGTATGTGAACTGTATTCTAATTAGAACACTATCCATTTTCGTTAGTCAGAAAAAAACCGGATAATTTTCGTCTACCTCATCTGCATATATTTAATCTGAGCACGTTGTTTAATGGAAATAATTTCGATTATTTTCCTGTAACAAGGCAACACAAAAGAAGACAAGGATGTAGAGCCAAGGTATAAATGTATAATATGATTTGATCATTTGGCAACAGGATAGAAAGAGAAAACCAGTAAAAACAGAAAGTTATTAAGATAATAAAAAGAAAGGAGACAAGATGTTTTTATTGAAGAAAAGAAATATCAAAGCATTCAAAATTTAAGAGCTGATCAAGACTGAATAACATCGGTATCAGTGTGGTCGGTTTTCAGGTGTTTCTGACACTCTTAGATCAATGACTTATCAAGCAAGAAAGTAACCAGTTAGGCAGTTCACACCTCAATAACATGATTATTACAAAGTTGACTAGGCAGCAATCTCTAAACCTTACTACAATGAATGAAATAAAATTGAATAATATTTTGCTAAATATAAGAACAAATGTACAACTTTGTAGAGGTTGTCTATGAAAAACGTTTTTCCCTTATAGGAAAGCTTTATATCTACCTAAATCAACTTTATAATGATAGGTTGTATTGACTGAAACTGCATGGATACTAAAAGCTTTCGATTTGGAGGTTGGTGGAGACTTATTTATTGATTTCAGATTGGTATTCTTCACAGACTGATATAAATTGGAGAAGAATTGATAACCTGGGAGACCTGGATAACTGTTTCGTCCTACCATGGGTCTCCCTCAGCAGTGCCCACTAATGGCTCCACCAGGTATGGTGCCCAGGACCTTAATGTTACGCAGTCAGCATGTTATCACAATTCATCCGCTGTGTCAGAATCAATATTCCACAATTCCTAGTTCAGTCACTTCACGATATAGCACAACCTCCATCTAATATCATCTTAGTCATAAACTAATTATATCATCACATTTATCAGACAGAATGCATCACCTCTAGGCTAGTACTTTGAAATAATTACTCTAATAAAGAGTAGAAAAGAATTATGACTAGCGTTAACTGTTAATATTTGGAAAGAAGAGGAAAAAACGTGTAGAAAACAGGCTTTTTGACGTCTACTGCTTTACAGACATGTAATACGTCAAATAGGATTACAAAACTGTTAAAGACAAGGTGAACTTTGTTAACTGAATCAACAAGCCAGAGACAAATTCGCAAACCTATGCGTAGAACAGAATAAACATCTATCGCAACCTACCACATAGTCTAATGATGGTGACTGAGGTGAAAGGAGATGGAAATAACAATTCGGAGAGTCAGGGAAAGGCGCATATAGTAACAGTAAACTCCTGATTTGTGTATGCTGAAAGTTAAAAGGCTAGGTGAGAGAAAGATGCACACAGCGACCTTGTGCACATCAGTGCAGCTGACAATGAGCCTTACTTATTGTGTAAGGGATAATTATACTTACTTGGTTGGCCAAACCTCGATAGGTGGGACCCGTGGCCCAATGCTTGATAGTCATCCACCCTCCCCTAAACCACTGAGCCACAAGTTCCACACAAGACTAGGTAAGGTGAATTTTTGAGAGAGCAGGAATAATCTGCTGCAGACATCCCATCGCATAATCAAAAATGATTAACCGTTAGACTAAATCCTTCAAAAGTCCACTAAACTTGACATTCTCTTCCTTATGTATGCATTCAATATATATATATATATATATATATATATATATATATATATATATATATATATATATATATACTATCTCATTAGAATGTCAAACGACTTTATAACTCAAAGCAATATACAGTTATGCTGCATATGCCACGAATGTGACAACGACTTGTATTTAATTACTGAGTTATACATTTACGATTTATGGGAGATTTTAAGCATAAGAAATAAAAACTTACCCAGTTAAACTATTGCTTCTAGGAAGACCATTTTGAGTTGCCGAAGAGTCATGTTTCGTAGAATCATGAGACTGTGGTATTGAGTTCCTCTTTACCATAGACTAGAAAAACAATTTATAGACAATAAATTATGAATTGTATCGAAAGTCCAAACAAACTAAGAAGAAAGTAATCCGCTTAGCGCATCACTATTACAATAAACCAAGGGTTGTGTCGAAAATCCGAAATACACTCAGTAATCTTGTACACAATCATCCAATAGGTAATGAGCCACACTTAATGTGCGAGAGCTAATGATAGTACCTCGACAAGTGGAACGGGATTCGAACCCGTAACTCTTGCCTTGATAGTCAACCCCATAAACCCATATGCCACAGCTCCACAAGGATTGTGTACCAGCCATCTTCTTCTTTTGGAGTGATGAGTGATATGCGAAGACAACTTATTTTCACGGGAAAACTCAAAATTATTTGCCTTTGTAAAGAAAAGCCTAATCCATAGACCACTGGACTCAATACTGATGACTGACTTTTCTGACCATAATCAACAGTCTATGTGGCGTAACCTATGACTCAATGTAATGAGTACTGTTTTCGTAGACCATAAAGTCAGATCCAGCCACCACGTTATACCCTTAAATCTTAAGATAATTGATCAAAGACTACTTTTAAGATAAATAAAGTTTTCTTCACAAATCTCTGAAGAGGTTGAGAAATCTTAAAAGCACTCACATCTAAATAATATGCTTCAAAAACACGGCAAGTTCCCCCATAACACCACATTTGAATACTTCCCTGAATTACTGCTTAAAACTAATAATAGTTGTTAACTAAAGTCACAAAAACAATATCGTAGCAACACTTTTCCCACTTTTGAGGACTAAGAACTTAGTGAAACGGAATATGAGAACTCCATATCACGAGTTCAATATTACGCATATTTATGCCTGTGACAAGATATCATGAAAAGCAACAATCTGACAGAAGAATATTCTTTTCAATAAGTTCTTTCATCAGGTCCTACAGTTATAAAATGCATTTGTACAACGTGAAATTAAGTCAACTTGGCGGCAGATACATTTTCAAAATGCAGTGAGATTTAGTGACTGTAAGGAAAAGTATTTTTCCTTCTTCCAATTTGTCAGTTCTGCAATGGCATATAAACAGATGAATGTGATAGTGAACAAAAAGATAAACTAAAGCCCAAGGGAGGAGTAATGCCTGCACATGTTCTTTCTGAATGCAGAGTTCAGGTTCGATCAATCGCATTGCGACAGCCTCCACTGTGTTGAAAAGGCTTTGGCGAGCTACACGTGGTATCGTTTTTGGAATACGGTGAGTGACATTGAAAGCTTTATTAGCATCTATATGGTGCTCTGTGTCGAGTTAGTGTGCCAAGACTGAAAATTTCACCACTTCGCCCTTTCCGAACCAAGCTGGGAAATCCTCTCGTATCCCGAAATGTAACTACCTGATATCCATTGAAGTGGGACAGCCATTCAAAACTAAGGAGACTGACTGCTGCAGCTTCTTGCTTCGGTGATAAAATGTACATCTATGACAACCAAATGAATTTGGGATTTTCCCAGCCAACCAAAGTCTACTACTACTACTACTAGCTATTGATTTAGATCACAAATCTTCCTATGAAAGGAATAAAAGGTATGCGGTTAAATCATATATTGAGGTTAAATGAACTAAGGAGTTCTACTGAATTCAAAGGATGTCTTTGTTACAATCATATCAAGGGAAAAAGTAATGAAAAGAGTAAACGACAGTGAACAGCTAGTTCGATTTATTCGGGAATTCCTTTTAAACCACAATAAAGTCCACGATCCTCCCAACTTGCAGGGTAAATTTTCACCTTTAAACTACTTTATGTCTGTATAATCATACAAAAACTACATCTTTGTTTGAGAAATCAAAATGATAAATTGAGTTATGGAAAAAAACTACTACGGAAACACCCGAATAGATAACACTTTATAATTAATCTACAAACAGTATCATGAATACAATTAGAACAAAATTAGACACGCCTAATTCATTAGAATTTCGGTTATATTGAAGTTTCGCATAAATCACGCACACTGAACGCTGTTTTGTTTTCCACTGATTAATTATCAAATAAGAAAATAGCTTAATCTCTGAATAGATCATGTTACAAAGGTGATTGAACCCGAATTCAATTTATACAAAAATATATAAAATCAACAAAACTCAAGGTAAACAGACTGGATAAAAATATGAGAAATTCTATTGACCAATTTTATATAATATTCTATGCACAACATTCAGTTATGCACTGTAATAAAATTGTATCGAAAACAAATAGGTTAGTTATATATTACACAAAGTTGAATCCATTTGTGTACTATGCAAACCCTAATCAAGAAAACTAAAAAATAATAACAAAACTGGTGATGATGTACATAAAACTTACTGTGGTTCAACTTTAAAGTTATACAAAAGTGAAAAATACTTGTCATCTAGAAATTATTTAAACGTTAAACAAGATAACCAATAATCCAATTGAAACTTGTATTCAAGAAACTATTTCGTTCAAGAAATGAGAGTTTAATAAATTGCCCTCATTAAGACACATCCAGGATCTTTAGATAAACAGAGTTAACGAGTTGGCAAAATCGAAATCTGAGCTGGGTTGTTTAAACGTGAAGCTTTCATTGTCTTTCTAGACGACATCATCAGCACTAACTTCAGTAGGAAGTGAGCTATCAGTATCTTCTCAGTGAGTGATTTAGTGGCTTGCTCTGACGATATGGTCTGTGATTGGTTGTTTCCTTCGACACTTGTATCATTGACTGTATAGATTTTCCTGTTGGCTGTCCCGCTGCTTGACCTCTCACCTTTCTGTCGTTTATCATCTTTCTTATTGGTTGATAGATTGGGTCTATGTCTATATATCTGTTGACTGCTGACTGACTGACCTGAATGCCAAGCTTCTAGGAATTCTCTGATATTTTTTGTTTCCTCTGTCCAAAATTTCTACATTGTCGAAATTCAATTCATGTCCATAATTATCTACATGCATTGAAATGAGTGATGTTTAATAGGCAGTTGGTATTCATGTAAACGAAGGTGAAGAGGGCGACCACTTTGTCCAACGTAGTGTTGACTACAGTTATTAGAGTTGATTTTATAAATGATATTCGGTTTGTCTTCTTTGATTGTTGCATCCTTTAGTCTGCATAATAGTGTTTGCAGGAAATTTGTTAGTTTATCAGTCACACCAATTCCAAGTGGTCTCAGAAATCTTGTCATGATTTCTGATATATTCTTTATGTATGGTAGGATGATGTGTTTATTGATTCCTGTCAATGACTTTGTAGTTAATGATGTACAGGAAAGGCATCTTCTAATAAAGTTTCGTGGGTAGCCGTTCTTCTTTAGGATGGACATCAAGTAGTTTTCTTCGTTTCTCTGTGAAGTCGTTTTACTACAGTGTGTTCTAGCTCTTTTGAATAGTCTGTATGCAACTAATTTTGTGCGTTGTTGGGTTGTTATTACTGTAGCTGAGGATTTGATCAGTGTGTGTTGGCTTCTGAACACTTGGATTTCCAGCTTTCCGACACTTGTCCTACTGACTAAAACATCCAGAAATGATAGTTGGTTGTTTGACTCTTTCTCCATTGTGGATTGAATGTCACGTACAACGCTGTTGATCAAACTGTGAGGGTTTTAAATATTATCTTTTTTAATGATGACAAAAGTGTCGTCCACACTACAGAATCCAAATTTTTGGTTTAATCAACGGTAGAATGATGGTTTCCAGTCTCTATATCAATGCTTCTGCAATTAGTCCGGATATCGGTGATCCCATTGGAGTTCCTTTCATCTGTTTGTACATCTTGAACGCATGTGTACAACGTCCTTTGATTTCTTGCTACACCTCTAGTCACTAGTTTTAACTCTCTCATACATTTTAGTCATCATGCATAAAGTCTTCTGATAAGGACAGACAGACGGACAAATAAAATCAACCTAGAACCTCGCACACAAGTGCATCGGATCAAGTTACTACACTTCACATAAGTATACAAAGAACCGGTGGATAGAAAAAGACTCATATCAAAGTAGACAAAGTCGTGTCAATGTAGAGAATAAACAATTAAAAGATAAGGGGCAGTGCGAATATTCAAGCTTTTAGATTTCAAAGAGTGAATACATCTGCGTCATTGTGACCGATATTCAGTCACTTCAACAAGAGCCCTCAATCACTGACTCCTACCACCTCGTGGACCCCAGTCAGGTAGTTTATATCTCCCCATACGGCTCAGACGAATGGTAAGAGTCTTCATCTATTGGTGCTACGTCTTGGTCTGGCCATCTTGAACCCTCTCCCAATCTAATTCAACTTTTCCTAGCATGGAACGTCGAGGTAGGCGGTGGATCGACATGTGCAATACATGCCTAAACCATCTCACTTTACTCGATAAAGGTTCATAACCTTGTCAATAGACTTGACTGTCTTTCTTAATCCCCTTCGCCCGATCTCAACATCGCTCACATGATGATTCTACCATACGAGAGCATACTGCGAAGACATTCGTGGTAAACATCCTGTAACCGAAAAACAAACAAATCTGAGTCTAATAAAGTCAACACTCTCATCATCCTATGACCCATATAGTCATCTATCCCAGTCAATTCTCATTTACAGTTTACTTACAGAAAATGCTTGACCAAAAAAAAATTTATTTAATTATTACTTCAGTTATATAATTTATCACTAACAATCTTTTCATAGATCAGACATAAGAAAAGAATTGTTTTATTACAGAAACTATCATGAATACACACATACAAAGTGTTATAACAAGATTACAGCTATTAATTTGCAACAATTTACCTGCATTAAATACATATTTCATATCGGCAATCAAATGGTAGTCAACTTCACCATGGAAACGGGTTCACTGAAACGTGAAATGAATTCCAGTTACACCTCAATAGACGCTTTAACACATTCCTATTCATTTAGACTATTCAATCACTGATTAGATGAGTGGAACCAAACTTACTGACAAGTATACACAGTAATAACCGTTCAGAGGAAATTGAAAACATATTTATGTAACCAT